AACGAAGACGAATCGACTCTTCAGACAAAAAGCAAATGACTATAGAAGATAGTGGTTACGAATCACTAAGATTTTCAATGAGAGAGAGAAAAGAAACTGCATAACGAAATGACGTAAGTCACCATGAAATAGGCACATATTATATTAGAAACACTATAGTTAAGTTTCAAAGAAAACGTAAAGCTCGAGTAGGCGAAAAATTACTTGTATGTGGATTATTGCGTTAAATAAAAAGGTTATGTTCTCCTGAACTGCAGTACAGTGAATTCGGTTGAAGTCATTGATTTGGTAAAAAATGGCAATTGTATTTCTATCATTTTGTTATTGCAGACGTTTCCCATAGCTACTATAATAATGAACTCTAAAACATAATAAAGTAAATGGTTTGAAACCGGGAGTATCGTTATATGTTTGTAAATGATGATCGTCCACGTTAATAAAGTCCTGAGAAGACTGTTTTTGTTGTTGTTGACTGACGTTTCGACAACCTTAGTGGTAGTTATCTTCCGAGTCAAATGAGGAGTAAACGTCAGGTTAGCCGTGTTTGTTATCTGGTTCTTACGTCATTGTATTGTGTGTACAGGAAATGTGCATTGTCATTGTGAATTAGTGTGAAGTGAAATATTTTATTTTTAGTTGTGATGTGTGATTTAGGTAAAACATAAGCTGGCGTACCCTAAAACATCACCAATAATTGTACACAGTCTTCCTGCTGTTTTTGGAAATGGTGTTTAAAAATTATCGATGCAAATATTATTTTGGTTATCTGTAAGCACAATATAGAAACAAACAGTTGTCCAATTCCCTTGAAGTTTTTTGTGTGAAGCATATCTTATTACGCATGTGATTAGCATAGTGACGGCCAGTAAATTGCATATTAGTAATCTGATTAAATATACAGCACCAAGCTGCACAGCGAAGTAGGACTACTGGTTGTTTCTCTATAGTGTGTCAATAATTAGTTTTAACATGTGTTCGGTTTCATCTTTTTTCCAGTTTTTTGTAGAGCTTGCACTCGAAACTTATTTCTACCGACGTTTGAAAAACGTGAAGGAGAAAAATAAGGAAATATTCCGTTATGTTTTATAATCTCACTCACTACAAATCTCCCTTCGCTGTCACTCTCAAACTCGAAGAAGCTTTAAACGGAAAGTTGTTGCCAAATAACGTTTTAGTTTACCACATCCATCTGTTCCACTCTTTTGAGTACTAACATGAGATGTGTCACTTACGAGTACGGTGAGATCATTCAACGTCGTAGCATACTTTTTTGCCTTTGAATTAATTAAAGAAATGGCCCACATAATTGAAATAAACTTTATAAAAGTCAAACTTTGCATTTTCTGAGTAAAATATCCTTTAATTAGATGTGTAGTAAAACATTTTTAATGCATTATCTCTCGAATGAAATCGTGTTAATTAACTGTTAACAATATAGTAAGAATCCTATCCGAAATGATTCAATCTAAAGTCACTCGTGCGAGGTTTTTACAAACACAGTTCAGTTTTATAGCAAAGGATATTCCGGAAATAGTTAAACGATTTTAAACATCAGCCCACAATGTTCCTTTTTTAATATTCTTCGACTCACTTCTGTTGAAATTCTCAGTTGGAAAAGGAATCTTGAAAAATAATTCAACTTCCTGCGAACAAATTCACTTACACCTAACCTGGGCGTAGCGCCTACTTAGCTTGTCTGAAAAACTCTCAATTCCGTGCAATGTACTTATAGTTTTATTAATAGCATGATGGAAATAATTTTGAAGACGGCAGTATCTACGAAGACATGGTATCGTGCCGTACCATCTTTACCGCAGGTAGCCAGAGTCGGTGATAGTTCCTAGTTTCCCCGTCTGCCACGAGTCCGATGTATGAAGTATATCGCATTGTAACTTTAGCCAAAGTTAGAAAACGATGAGAAATGCATTCAATCTAAAGTCACTCGTGCTTGCTTTTCAAAATTGCTCTTTAGTGCACGCTATAGCTACCAACCATTATAACTTCTAATAGCATAGATCCTAAATATATGAATCTCCTAAAATTTGCTGGTTTTTTTGCTGGCCTTTAAGAAGTCTAACTAATGAGATGACTAGAAATTCAAAGTTTTTTATAATTGATTTTTTTGACAAATCGAATTAAAAAAAATAAAAAAAGAGTACGTCAATAACTGCGAAGGTCTTTACGTTTCAAACACAATTCAATTTTAAAACAAATGATATTTCGCGAATAATAAATGCTAAAACAATTTTTAATATTTTTCCCTTTTCTGTTGAAATTCTCAGCCAGAATAGGTTCCTGAAAAGAATAAAACTTCCTGAGATTAATTTCATATAAGTTGACACATGACCTGGGCGCAGCGCATAATTGTGTTTCAATTTCGTGCTTAATATTTATATTTTGATAAACAGCATCTACAAAGACTTGTAGATGCTGTTTATCAAAATATAAGACTATCTTGCTGTAACATTTATACCATAGGCAACTAGTTTCTTGAGTAATAGTTCCTAGTTACCCACAATGCATCGAGTCCGATTCATGAAGTAAATATCATTGTAACCAATTGGAAGTGTAACTTATAATGTTAAGCATGTGGAGACAACTATTTTCTTACATTGTCACGTTCATGTACGTGTTTGTAACATAATTTGATGATTGTGTTGTGGTGTAAATGATGTTGAACCATTTACTTATTTACCATTACAACAAGAAGAGTGTTGAATAAAACTCTTTACTTTGTCATTACTTTGTAATCTAACTGCGTTCCTTCTCTTCGCAACACATTGACAAAATATAGTGTGGTTCAGTATTTTCAGGTACGTTAAACTAAACGTGTTCCGTGATTGTAGCTCTCAAAGCGGAAATCGAAAGCTGGCTCGCCTCTATTATGTAGATCACACGTTGTTTTAAGTGTTTACATCCTTTCCGTCTGTTGTAAGCTCATTCTTATATTTGTCTGATTAAGAATGGACAAATAAATGACACTAAGCTTTATTTGGTTTCAGAGTTCGTTGTATTGACTGTTTGGCCCTTCATGCGAAATCCAGCACAAAATTCACGGAAATGAGGAAAAAAGAATGATGTACTTCTATAATTTTTTCGCTCGCGTCTTAATGTTCGTCGGCTTCTTACAGTTGACTACAGGTTGGTCAATGTAATATAGTGAAATTATATTTCTTTGCTTTTTTACTTCTTACAATTATTTAGACGGTATTTTTATTTACACCTGTTGACAACTGTCTTCTTATAGTAAATATTGTGTAATATTTTACAATGAAAATTGTGCAAGTGCCATATAATTACGAATTAAAAGCGAGGCTCTTCCGTGTTAAAATGCACGAATGGCATGCTGGAAAATGCGGAGTTTAAATTATGGAGTGTAGAACGAGTATGGAGTTGGAATGCGCAGCAGAGCCTCCTTTACTAAGTACAATTTAACACATCTCTGTGTTTTCCTCTCTGTACCACATAAAGTTAAAAATGCCGAATCCTAGTTCATAAAAGGTGTTTGTTTCACATGCATGGTTTTCAACTATAAAATAACATGGTTGCCTCAATTTGTTTTGTTCTAGTATGTCGAATTAATATTGTATTTAATTACTTAATTAGAATTTGCTATTCAGATTCAAAGGTGGTATTACAAGTAATACAACCTTGTATTGCGTCTGTACTGGTGATATATTACTAACAGCCCCAAACTTTGAGCATGAAATAATAAAAATCATTACAAAGTATTTACATACGTATGCATAAAAGGCAAGGGGGATCATGTGGCTCTGCAGCCTCCCCCCTGCCTTGATAAATGTTGAGCAGATAAAAGCAGTCGGGAATTATTTGCTGAAAAATTGTGTAAATTATATCATATTGAAAATGAAAAAAATCCCCCTAAAAAATGTAGGCCCGCCTTCCCATGACTATTTACTAACCTCCCTCAGCCTTCGAGTACATTTAATCAGTAAGCCTCACTTATAATAATTTGTGAAATATTAACTATATTTGCTGACAAATATAATTTTTGTTTTTAGTTTCCAGACTTCTATGGTAAATTATATTTTTGTTTGTGTTTGTATGTAGTAAGTGTTTTTGCCATACAATACTATAATAATGGCACAACAACACCTGCGCTTTGCCAGTGGCATAACCGAGGGATGTAGAGTGTCAAGTGATGGGTGCCTTTGAACATTAGGGAAGTCCAGAAAAATTAACATAAAAAGTTATTTAAGTACTAAAATATGTTTATGAGAGATCGCTATTTTGTTACAGCTTTGAAGTTTTGTATACTGTTAATGAAATTTAAATACTGTTTGTGTTGAGGAAAATTTGGAGATTTATTCAGCAGTTGTGTAGCCAGCAAAGGAATTTATCGAAATGAAATGTATACGATTAGCAGGCTACCAACAATGAGATTATTTCTTTGGTATCAATATTTGCCTGAAAGAGAAAAAATGAAAAACGCCAGTAATGGCAGCTAAATAGAATATTTCACTAATCTAGTCTAGTAAAGAAATCGTTCATGCGTTTTTTTTACGTCACGTTACAATTCAGCTATCTTACATGTCACATCTGATACGAATGTTACGTGAATTTTATAGGATTATAGGAAAAAGTTTTTTATAAACGTAAGTGATAAAGAATGATCAAAACATTCAACTATTCACTTGTGGTGTATTCAGCCTGCTAGTTTAGTCGTTCTATGTAAATATTTTGGTGTTCGCTTACAACAAAAACATCAGATTTTTAAAGAAAAAACTGTACTAATGTTACGAAACTTATAGATCACGACAAAACAAACAGTTAGGCAGCAGATCTAAGAACACAGTCGAATATATTACGTTAAGACCAACATAACGTTTAAAGTTTCATTAACTTGTTAATCGGCCTTACATTGATTACGAAATCTAACGCTACTCAAAAGCAAGAACAGCTGGTTTCAACGCTGCAAGTGTCGTTGTAAAACCATGCAGCTGTTACATTTGTAAACAGTATTTTTCTGTGTCTTACAGGTTTATCGTGTGATGTTTCTGGAGGCAAACGTTTGGAATGTGGAAATAATGTACAACAACAGGATCAATGTCCAGAAACATGTTGCTTTAACCAAACAGTAAATCCTCCTTGTTATTTTAATAGAAAAGGTATAAAATACTATTTGTTGTTCCTGCACTTATGTAAAGTGTAAAGCTACAAGAAATTTGCTTTTGAAAAGAAGTTTTTTGCTCGTCTTTACCCACGAATTTCTAATTTTTTCCACTGTTTCACATTATATTATTTTTTCTGTAGACTTGGGTTTGTGAATTTTAATTTGGTTAAAACATTGTGTTTCACTTTTTTAATTTTTGTTTAGGAAAGGATTTTACGTTATTTTCAATGTACTTATTTTGTATTTTACAATTGCATTTACAGGTTAACATATCATTTTCATAAGTAGAGCGTATCAATGTTTGAATGACAACTTTAGATTAAAACATGATAAATCAACAGATCGTTGAAATTTCTTTTTAGGCTATGGTCCTATTAAACACGCAAACGGACTTTGCATTAATGTACAAGGTACACAACGTCTCATTTGGTCAAGTGACTGCACTTCAAGAAATGCTTTTTTCTTGTTGTCATATGACTATCCACCATATCACGTGACTACAGGAAAATGTATTTTACCATCCAAGTGAGTTTATGTATTTTTTTTAAATTTGTTTAACAAACAGTTTATTGCAATGTTACTGGAAGAGTTTCTTTGGTCATCTAATAATAAATACTCCAAAATCATTCATCTAAAAATGACAATTAATTGCAATAAATGCACGAATAGTTTTTAAACACCCTTATATCGCCCGCTTTCTGGCGAAAAAGTGGACGAGGCTTCGTAAAGTACAGAATTGACCACAAACTTCTTACCAAATATTTGGAGTTTAGACAAGGAATATTGTCTATACCATTATAGAAGATAAATCCTACAAGACAAGCTCAGTGAGCACGGGGTTTCAATTGGCAAAAGAGAAGTTTTCTTTTCGATAAATCACAAGTAATGACAAAGCAGATTCTGCCGCACGTATTATATGCAGTAAAGAATACACCCAACCTAAAGAGTGTTTCTAGAAAACTTAACAGAACTGCATTATGATTGTAGTAATGATTCTGCGGGATTGTGCTCATCAAGCGTTCATAATTTTTCCACACTATAAGTTTTAATTGTATTATGGCACTTACATGTCAGCCTAAAACGTCTTGTACTCATTAAATCCACTAATCAAAATCCAAAAATTTTTTATGCTTTCTGCCAGACAATTACAGTAAACGTGACCAACTTTGCATTGTATACGAGCATGCGAACACAACGGAATAACTTTACTTGAACACTCATGAATGTTTCGTAATTTTTCCTCAAAAAAATGCTGTAGTAAAGTCTTATTGTTCTGGGCATAAAACGGGACCTCAACTTTTTGCCACATGGTTGTGAGTTTCAAGGATGGGAGCTGGGGTCATTCAATTCATGATTCGATTCGATTCGATTCAATTCAATTTAATTTTATATGCAATTCGGGAGAAAGAAAAGCTTGCACAGTTTTTGAGCAGATGCCTTGAAATTGTTTTAAAGATAGCAATTGCCATGATTGTTTGCCAAAATAACCTAAGAGTTCTAAGGCAGTGGCGGATCTAGGGTTAGTCAAAATAGAGTACTGCTGCACATTAAGGAATATATTTACATTTCGAAGCCCCTCAGAGATAAGTCCATTGGTGAAAGTATATTCTTTAGAAATTGAAAACCAATAATTCTTTTCTGAAAGTACTTTAAATTTAAAAGGTAAGCAGCTTTTGTTTATTATGCTCGCTGCTGCTAGCTGTGACTGCCCTTAGTACCGCTACTGTTCTTAGGTTATTCTTGCCACTGACCATGCCATTTGCTGTCTTTAAAACAAATTTTTGTGGGTAGCCGCTGCGCATGCGCGGCTAATCACTATGTTACTCTGAAAAAGTGTCCGTCGGTTTCTCAGTCGTTATCCTTGAAGATAGTCTGCTGTATGGATGACGAAGAAGAATTCCGCTTTGTGTGTTCGTTGTTTTCACGTTAAAATATCGCATGTTGTTTTGATAAGTAGACTGTTATTGTTCCAAGCGAAATTTTCCGGTGAAGCAAGATCAAACTTTATATGCTAAATTATATAAAAATACAATGTCGTTATTCAAGTAATTAAACTTGAAATATCTTAGTCAAATCTGGTATCTCGGTTGCTCAGTTTACAGCAGTCATTTAATCTTGTACTGCGTATTATCATAATTGCAATGGATCTGAGCTCAAGATAGCTACATGTTAATGTAGCTTATACATCGACATACTTGCTTTGAGTGAAACGTTCATTTAGATTTGTCATAAGTTCGAAGATGTCTTTGGCTTTAGTTGGTATCATTGTCAAAGTTTTGTTCTTCTGCACTTAGTTTTGTTTGATTTTTTTGTATTAATTTTTTGTTCTGGAAATTGTGTAAATCTGAAATCGCAAAGAATATAATTAGGCTCACACAAAACGCAAATTTTAACCCTCGCGTTTTACAAAAGCGATAAAATCAAAAATGTAAAAAAAACTTTGTTTAAAACAACGCATATAAATCGAGATTAGATTTCAAAATGTCGCTAACTTATCAATTTACGTTATTATAGCTTGAAACTTGCTGATCCTGGGACAAGAGTTGAACTTTTTCTAACAGAGAGTAGATTTTGCGGCGGTCACGTAGGAAGATACCGACCAAACAAGAATGGAAATTTATACTACTTTCATAATGATGGACTATACAAAATCTGTATTGGTGGTTCATCTGTAGTCAATAATGAATGGCAGCCTAATGGCAATGAAGTTGTCTTTATCGATGAAAAAGTTTGTGAAGTTAATAATTCGTGCAAATTCAACTATGGTAAGTTGCATCACCAATTTGAGTCATCAATTTCGCCAATACGCTACGAGACGTATTACAGTTTATAAATATCTTTACATAGCGATGATTGTTGAGAACTATGCATAGCTAATCTTTATGAATAATAATTGAATCTTGCATAAAATATGCATCAACTTTGGCTCAATTCTTTAGTGTAGAATTGTTAAATCGAATATGATGATACAAATTTCAGTAGTGCGATTATGCCAGGTTGAAATTTCACTTTTTATTAGATTCAATTGAAAGAATGAAATTAGGTAATGCTTTTGCTATTCAGTATCAGAGAGTAATTTCAGCACACAAATTAAGCGTTATATTGTAAATATGACTCTGCTAAAATGCGTGTTTCAAACGATGCCTTCACTTACATTGTTAAACTTGAGAACATGTGGATTTCGCTTCATTGTGTCTCTCAATGAAAGTTTGTTTTTAACGGTCTCTCCAATAAGTGTTAGACAGGAAACTAATGCTCGTTGTTGAAAAATGTTCGTTCATTTAAAATGTTTAAATAATATCAAGCAGTGGCGGATCTAGGGTACCACAAAATAAATTATAACTTTTCAATTTTAGCTTCAAATTACTTTTAGAAAAAAGCTATTGGTTTTTAATTTATAAAGATCTTAATTTTGCCAATGAAAAGGTGTTTAGAAATGTAAATATATTCCAAAATGTGCTGCACTAATTTATTTTGAGATCCGCCACTGATGTAAGGGCATAGGGCATAGGAAATAGTTTGTAAGTTACGTCTATTGTTTGAAATAACTTTGTATCGTCGCTCGTTGTTTTTATATACATTACTTAAATTACATACTTTATTTCTTCCTCTTAATAGAAAAATATTAACCACTTTTCTCTTAAGTGAATGTTGCGGTGGTGTAGATTGTTCTTTTTCTTGATTTGTTTAGAAATATTCTGGAAATATATTTTAATATTATCGTGATTTTTTAGTTTACGAAAGAAAGATTGAGAATGGAGATGATTTAAATATCCAATGTGATGAATCGTGCTCTAACTGGGTCATTGAAATGCGTTCAGCTGAATTTGGTGTTTTGTTAAAAGAAAGGGGGCGAAGTAGAAAACCATATGGGATATCTTCGATGAAAAAAGACTGTCTGTCAACGTCAGCGTTGAGTGTTGCGCAAAATCAGTGCAACGGAATAGAAAAATGTTCGTTTACAGTACGGAAGGAGGATTTCTTATCAAGACCATCCAATTGCAGAGAAACATCAACATTACTCGTTTACTACACTTGCAAAACGCCTAAATCAGGTATGAAATAACATTTTTGTACCGATTAAAAATTGTTTGGAGTAATGGTAGTGGTGAGATTTAGGAAAAATAAGGGGAAATGTGTGTAAAATTGTTTGGGGACATGTTTTGTTAGATTATGTATAATTTCCTATAAATATGAAGAAAAAGGTTCGTAGTATATACGCCTCCTCGAGACGAATTAAGAAAATTTTGACTAGAGCAAACAGAAAAGGCTTTGCTTACGTTTGTCACTCATATGATGACAAATATGTCTTAAATTAACCTCGAATTGATGAACTGTATAATCCTCATTATTTATAAATTAATTTGAGGAGGCTCCCTACAGTTACTAAGTCGGGGACTAGTGACAATTCGGGTGCGCATATTGTGCTCATGTCGAGTGGATTTTTTTACATAAACGCCTGACTGCGCTGACTTTATTGAAGATTTTTTCAGTTTTCCTTCGGTAAATTTTTTTAAAAGGTCGTGTGGATGTTTATTAAAACAAAAAATGTAACACGCAAAATAGAACAAAATCTACAAGTATGTTTTCATGTAGCTGAAATTTTCAAATATCTGAAAAAATTATTTGTAGAATTCCTTCAATTGATTTCGTTTTCTTGAGTTGTTTGAGTAATAATTTCACCTGGGTTTCACGTTGTAGGGTGACTTTCACAGGGTCTTCGTTTATGAGTTCAAATTTTGAGGAATCGGAGAGGATTTCTGACATTTTGTTGTTGTAGTCGGTGAAATCATTACTCAAACAACTCAAGAAAACGAAATCAATTGATGAACAAACTTACAATAAATTCCTTCAATATTAAACATAATGCTTCTTCAATGAATAACAATCGTCACGCAAAAAAAAATAAAAAAGTTCACCCAACCGAAAAAAAAGATACGGTTAATTCCTTAAAAACTAAACGATAAAAGTGTAAAAGAAATGGAGATATGGTCGCAAACAGTTATCCTATTCAAACATCTTTAGACTTTACTGACATTTTTTAACATTCCCGCATAGTTTATATTTCCAAAGTTCCAGTGTGCTTGATGAAAATAATGTTTTTAGTGAAGACTACCTGAAACGCCTGAATCTTTGGTGAACTGTTCGGAGCCTCCTTAAACATTAATATAATTTATATATAAGGGCTTTATAAAATGCAGGTAAAAATGAAAGACACAATATAATCCGATATTTGGACTTTAGTACTCGCGTTTGCATTGGGCATGTTTCTCGAAATTTTAGTATCTTGAACAACATTTTTCATATTGGACTCCATGTTTTTTTCTATTTTGTTTTATTCGTGTCATGTTTCAGCGCAAGCTATGTCAAAATTCCTTCTCGTCAATTCAATGATCACTGTTAAAAGCACCCTTATATATATGAATAATATTTTCACAGTTTTTACTTTTGAGTGGTTAGCATAACATAGCTACACTATTTGCGTTCACCTTGTCGCGTACATTTTTTGCTGAATTTTTATATAAAAACGTAGCTCAGCGTCTTTAATTTTTTTTACATTAATTGTTTGCAGTGGTTAGCACAACAACAGTAACACAAGTCAACCCTTTGGCAAAAAGTAATCCTTTACCTGCTGTACCCAGCACGGAAGCCACCTTACCCAACAGCAATACTTCACCCAGCAAGAAAACCACGATGGCAGACCTTCAAAATACATTGACAAAATCAAGTAAGAAAGATAGCGACAACTCAGGTAAAAAACATCACTTTACTTTTTGTAATCATTCATGGGATTATCAGTGGAATGCCTATTGGGGAAATTTAGTGAAGGGCATGTGCCTCTTCATCAGTGCGGCTTTTTCAGATATTACACGTTGCTTTGAACTTCCCATCGGTTAATTCAAACAACGACGTTTCTGTTTTAAAGAAGCTCCTTCTTTAGCATCGAGTAATCTACATACACTTTGTTCCCAGTCAGAGAAGGTGAAGGAACAGTGTGCTTATACATGCAATTTTTTCCCCTACATTTGGTCGGATGAACATAAACTCTTCCTCTTGTTTTATCTTGCTTTATTTAGTTGCGAAATTAAAAAGGGGGGGTTGTGCTCATTCGACCAGATCTTGTTAAAAAGTTTGCTTGTATATGGTCACATTGTAAAGGTTGTACCTTTCAAATACATAATATGGTTGAGGGATGTAGAGTGGCAAAGTGAACTAATAAGTTGAAAAGTAGTTGAATGATAATGACTAGAGTATCGTTGACAACTCGATAGTTGTTGAGCACATATTTATACATGTTATGCCGTTTTAAGTTTTTTTTTGAAATAAATTGTTTTATTACGAATTAAGACATGTATATATGAATTCATCCCGCCCCAACCAGGGGAGAAATGAGAACGACAATGGCGTGTGAATATTCATATATTCAGCTTTTCCTGACTAATTGGGTGTGTTAGCAACTTGAATTTCAAAAGAAATCAGCATATATGAATATTCACCCCCTCCAATTATCGTTCTAGTTTCGTCCTTCATCCCAACCAGCCTACTCCCATCAACGAGTATGCTATGCGAAATACCATATACTTTATTTGTTCTGTCTTTGGGACTTTTGTAATCGGGGGTGTTCACCGAAACGCCTTTTTTTTGTGCATGCACACTTTGAAGCTATTGAGCTCTCCGTAGTTACGAATGTACAAGAAGAACAAAAATAGTCAAAACGACAACTGTACTGCTATTATTATACCTATAGTTTTGCTTCCACCCTATTACTATTTGTACTGTTTCTGCCATTTATTTGTGGAAATGTTTGATTTCACAAATAAAGCTTAATTGTCAAAAGCACTTACCAAAGGGGTCATTAAAAACAACATTGATGCACTGAATTTTGTGTAATGAATTCTCTGCTTTTTCCAGGTGTTATTGCAGGTGCTGCAGTTGGGGCTGTTTTGCTGGTTGTTCTACTTGTATTAATCATCTTTTTCTTCTGGTTTGTATTTTGCTGTTATTTTTGACAAACTCAGTAGTGGAACTAGTTAAAGCTCGTGTTAAGTAGACTTCTCTCTTAGACTGATTTTTTAGCACCTGTTAACTTCTACTAGTGTGATTTTTTTCAACTAGCATTTGATGCAATTGACCATTTCATTAACCTAATTGAACAAGATTCATGATCCAGCCTTTCATTGGATCCAATTTCAGATTGAATGCCAACAACATGCTTGTCCATAATGTTCTATTTATCCTGTGATAAAATTTAATGCATGAAAAAGATTCGTAAATCAAGTACAGTTTACTTGTTATAGTGCGTAACGCCAAAAATTGATCGTAAATCATGCGCTTTTTGTAGCCGCAGACGTCGAAAGCCAAGAGCCGATCATTTTTATTCTGAAGCCGTTAACTACAACAAAAAATCAAGAGAAGAAGAACTTTTAGCTGTTAGTATCAACGATGAAAGCGAGCGGCCATCTCCTGAAAACATTGAGAAAAAGAGAAACGTTGTTACGGTAGGGGATAAATCATATTTGTACTTGTCAAGATCTAAACTCTGGAAACAGAGATAATACACTGCGTGATTAAAGGTTTTAACCAAAGGTTTTGATGACATTTTCATAACTTCCCTTTCATTACCGGTCAACCAGCATGTGCATGATGCATGTTCCTCGTTTTTGTCGTTTTTTTTCTCAAAATTACCGTCAGCTTCTTTATTCCCCTATCAAGTTTTTTCCACGGTGTCAATTTGTTCATCAATATTTATTTTCACCATCGTTCTTTTCCAAAAACAATTATGAGGAATTCGCCTTTCACCATTTTCTCTTTCACCCGATTATCAATCTTCCCCTTTCACCATCATTACCATTCTCCTTCAACGATTAAATGCTTTTCCCTTCATCGATGTTCCTTTTTTCTGCTTACCTTCATCTTTTTTTCTTTTTTCTATCATCGCAATTAGTTTTGTTGATAATATATTCGTATGTTAGTTAATGCATCATTCTTCGTTAGCTTCTAACAATATCATCAATATTTAGGCACCATCAGATGATGTTTACGCAACACCCGACCAAGCTGATGAAACTGCTGTGGTAAGGTGTAGCACCATATTGTTTGCTTCTAAGGGCAAACTTGCAACAATGTCGTTAGTATTCCGAATGTATTGTGAAATATACATTCCAGAGGGGACTATTCCAAGATATAGAGTCTGTATATTAATATTCTGGTAAAAGCGTCCACAATTCAATTATCCACTGCGTTCATTTTTACTCTTTTTATATATCTTTTAAAAATAGCAATAAAACGCTTACACTGATTGGTCTAAAGGAAATCTGGGCTCAACCAATTAAATCAATCAAATTATTCAATCAATCAAAGAGTATTTGCAAGTTGATCATAAGTACATTTTAAAACGTTTCTTTTAAGTTTGCCTGTTTTGCCTATTTGTTGTTTATAAAAGAAATAAAAGATGTTTTTCGTGTTAGCATAGGCTTATGCAAACCTCGGAGACGTTTGTGAGAACTCTCGAGCAGGTGCAAATCTCGATCTTTGCTTTTAGGCATGCATTGATCATCTCAAAGGTGTCCTCGGTTTGCATAAGCCTGTGAAAACACAGTAAACATGTTTTGTTTGTTAAATAATTCGAAACTAGCTGGATGTTCTTGCAACATTCAATAAATGTTGCAACCTCAATGAGCTGTTTCAAGCAGAATTCGTTTTGTTAAACTTTACAATTGACGAATAAGAACTTGACAAATCTAATAATAATGGCGCATGCATGACATGAGATGAACATGCTTTTTGATGAACCAAATGATTACATTCATGTTAGATTTATAAAAGGTTTCTTTGAAGACGGTTTGAGCGATGATTTTCAAATTTCTAGCCAAAACTTTACCACACTAAAAAATTGCATGCTCAAATACGTTACGAAATACCTCTCAAACCCATTTGTCTTTAGGGACCATCTAACCACCTTTACGAAAAGCCCGACAAGACTCAAGAAAATGACATAATAGTAAGAATTAATGTTACAATGGCAACAATAATTTTTAGACTAACTTGACAATTTAATCACGCCCTGCGCGTTGAATCAAAAACAATCAAATACCTTTAGACTGCAACATCTTTGTTTTAGGTACAATCTAACGACTTGTACGCATATCCCGAAGAAACTGATAAAAATAAGATTATGGTACGAGTGAATATTGCAATAATGGATTGAGCGAGTTTCATCTATGAAAAAATCTTCGGATAAACAGTCACTTTAGCGTGTAACAACTCTGTTTTTAGGTACAACCAAACGAATTATACGCATTTCCCGACGAAACGGATAAAAATAAGATTGTGGTACGATTGAATACTGCAATAATGTTTTGAGACAAGATACCTATTGAAAAGGATTTGGATGAACAGTTTCAAAACAGTCAAATACCTTAGCCTGTAACATTTCTGATCTTTGTAGGGGCAATCTAACGACTTGTACACATTACCCGACAAAACTGGAGAAAATATGACTAAGGTAAGAATTAATATTCCATTAATCTTGTTTGTCAAAATTTCCTCTAAAAAGTATTTGGATGAGATGAAAAGAAAATGTTAAGAAAATGTCGAAAAGAACTCCATCCAAAATTACATGAAGTATCTCTAATAATAAAACTCTAGCATGAATTTTATTTTTTCACCTTTATTATTTTGCTTTTGTATATTATCTGCATGATCTTCTTCTGTTAATCAGATTTTTTCTCTTCCATCCTTGACGATTATCTTTAATTTCCTCCATCATTGTTCCCCTGTATCCTCTTTTATTCTATTGTCATAAGACTTTCTCTCATTAACACTTTCTTTGCTGTCCAATGCTCATCAATATATTCCATTACTTTATCAGGCACCTTCTGGTGACTTGTACAGCAAACCTGACAAGACAGGAAAAGAAGAGAGTCAATACGAGAATAGACCTGAGAGTATCGCCTACGCTAACAACCAAGGTGAGACGGAGGGCATTTCATAACACAAGCTATATATAAGCTATGAAGCCACAATTCTTTACCTTTCAGTCTACAGCTCTGTAAACGAAGACTCTGGGATAAAGATAACAAGATTTTTAATGTACGTTCAAGAGATGAAAAAGAGCGATAATTTTGGTTTTAAAAAAGAGTTCGAGGTAATTTCTTATCCATGTTTGTCATGTGTATCAAAGTTCCATGCAAAAGCTCATTAATGTCTCAGATGTGTATTTTATCGTGTGTTTTTTTCTGTATTTAATATCTTTGGTTGCATGAGAAACGAACGATTTTCGTTTGTTTGTTTTGAAGGAATTACCGACCGGTCAAATACATCCTTGGGATGTCGGTAAAAGTGCCAAGAATGCGAAAAAGAATAAATATAACAATAATACCGCTTGTAAGTATTGTGTGGATTTTCGTAATGTTTTATATTTTCTTGAAGTATGGAATCAATTTATGTTTTATTTTAATACCCACAAAGCTACTGCTCCTGTTAGCACACAGTAATGCAAATGATTATCGTAATGTACATTGGTGGATCGATAATATTGCTGTTCGTGCATGATTAATGTTATTTAATTGCAAAATCGGGATGCGTTTCTTCACATTCTACTGAAGAACTTGCAATCAATTATTTCACCAATCACTGGTTTTGACAGGACAAACTGTCAAACATTTCGCACATGGCAAACATTTCATGTGCATCCACCATCCATGACTTGTTGTGTTGAATTATTCGCGACGCTGCTCAAAATATCAGTAACGTTTTATCACAAATAAATGTGCCTCAAAAAGTCCAATAAAAGCGTTTTTGGTCGTGTCAAAACAGGATGTATGAAGCTTTTTTAAGTTTTTGTTGTTGAATTAAGAAAATTTTGAAGATAAAATTTTCGACAACTTCTCTTATTCCACGGCTTTAAATTCGAGAATTGAAGAACGGCTAGAGTCAACCTTTTTGTTCTTCTGATTTAGTTAATATTTCTTCTTAGATGATCATTCGCGGGTTATTTTATCAGGAGCAGACAGTTACATCAACGCAAACCTCATTCAGGTACTTGCTTACTTTTAGTGATGATGTTCTTAGAAATAAAGCCCATAAAAATCGTGCAAGGTGATTACATGTCAGTTATTTAATATTATTTTCATGGGCGGTCATCACATAGCGCAACTCACCATTCATGGAATTATCGATCCTTATTCGTCGAAGTGCTTCCTTAATGACAAGCGTTGCTGTCGACACATTCATTTCATTTACTCCAAACGAGTTCTACTGTATTACAGAATTTTCAATATTTTGTGCGTTCACCTTCTGAACCCCGTAATAGGAAGAGGGGCTGGCTTACCCCCACTTTTTCCCCGAGATAAAGATTTTGCCAACATTTATATATTTTAGCCTAACTTGAGAGAGCAAATTTAGTAAATATAAGTAGTATAGCTTCCCAAGTTTAATTTTGTGGTGCTATCCCTGCTACTTAATCATAAGTATTGCAGATTTTCATGGACGCTATAAAAGATTCTTTATTACAGTTCGTATATTTTATCTTACAGCACATTCCGTACATGTAAGTTTTTTTTTTCGTAGGGAATCCAGTCAGAAGTTTATATAGCTTCACAAGGTACAATTTATCACTATCTCTTAAATCTTTATGAGGTCACAAGGAAGGGCTTCATGTACCCTAACCCTACCTTTTTTGTTATTGTAGGTCCTATGGCTGACACTGTAAACGAATTTTGGCGGATGATATGGGAGCAAGATTGCACGTCTATCATATGTTTGACTAAAATCGTGGAAATGGGCAAGGTAAGCTCGCCTCTAATCAATAATGAAGTCATGCAATTATTTCCCAAGATGCATTTCTGCCATTTATAATAGCCCTATCGTAGATAACAGTAAGGGCAAGATTATACTGTCGAGTTTTGGCGTCGAACTGTATAGATGCTGCTGAATTTAACCAATGAGAAAAATAAATTTATAATTTATAAACAATCTCCTATTATTACTGTATTCCAAAGCCATTATTAGAGAATTAGATGTATTAGCTCTAACTTGTTTACAAAAGGCCAATAAAAGCGAAAATGTAATGATATGGACACTTTTTATAGTTTTACTTTCCATTCTGCAGGTAAAATGTTTTCAATACTGGACAGATGAAGAGACAAGCTTTGGTGAAATCGTTGTCAAAACAAGAAAGACTGAAATGTTTGCCGACTACGTCATACGATATTTGGATGTGAAAAAGGTGACGTAACATTCTCTCCCAGTCTCTCATCTAACACATCTTGGTTTTGTTATATGATTTCATTAAGCAGGATTGTTGTATGAAATGAATTGCGCATGATCATCTGCTCGTGTTTTGATGATTTGCAAAATTTTTTGAGTATTTTGAACTTTTTTGGAGAGATAGTATTTTAGGATTGAGGGTGCTTGTTTTATACGCTGTTTTTGTTAAATAAATAAATAACAATTAAATGAAACTTGATTTTGTCAGAAACAGCAGAATAGAAAATGTATGGCTCTGTACCTTTCTAACGAGCTTCCTTTATGATCATTTTATCATTGACGCCATAGTTTTGTACTTTTAGGGTGGTACAACGAAGAAGGTCACCCAGTATCATTTTCTCTCATGGCCTGACCACGGTGTACCTAGATACCCCACGAAACTTTTAGTCTTCCGACAACGTTTCCGAGCAATGCATTTGGTTGACACTAAGCCAATCGTTGTACATTGCAGGTAATATTCTTAGTGCATTTCCGTTATTCAGAATAAAAATTTTGAGGTCGTCATGTTCTGTTCGATCCTACTTTACGAATTCCTTCTATCTTTTAGTGCTGGCGTTGGCAGAACAGGGGCGTTTATCGCACTGGATATGAGTCTGCGTCGTATTAGTGATTTGAATCAACCAACAGTGAATATTAAAGAAACCGTTCAAGATATGAGAAATCAAAGGATCAATATGGTTCAGACGTTGGTATGTTTTCAGCTGTTAAGTATTATCTTAGTAAACCCTTTACATGGCATTTTTTTCATCCTTTGAATTTATTTTAATTCGTATAATTGTTGCAAAATGTGCAACGGTCATTAGGGGTTGTGTGTGCTTTGCTATAGACATGAGCATTAAGTGAGTTGAGCTTTTATATCCTGGCTCACCAAGTGAAGACAACAGACTTCATTATCTATTGTGTGTATTTTACTTTTATCGGAGGTTAAACAGGATCGAGTTTCCAGGTAGTGCAAGATGTTAAACTTAAAATTCTACAACTATACTTTTCGACTTCTGTTTGAATAGAACCAAGATTAAAAAAAAATCATCGCTTTTTTTCTTGAGCACTAAAGTGTAGTACTCACTTTTTAGGAACAATACGTCTTCGTTTACGAAGCCGTCCTCGAGATCATTCTCTGTGGCCTTACAGAAATTGCAGCACAAGATTTACGAACTGAGGTCGAAAGACTTGAACAAAAGGAATTAAACAAGTCTTTGAATGGATTTGAAATCGAATTCAATGTAATTCTCACTCATTTCCTTTTGCCTCTTTAATTTATAACTTATGTGTTGATTTTTTTCCCTTTTTTGACTTATGTTTTAGACACTTAGTTCAGTTCGTCCTTCATTCACCGCTGAAGATTGTGCGACATCTTTACTTCCTGAGAATCAATCTAAGAACCGTGACATGAACATTTGTCCAGGTATTTTTCATACTTTATATTCAATTGATATTATTGAAAAATTTTTTTATAATGCTTTTATTGTTCATGACTTGCGTTCTTGAGAAAATTTGACAATATTCACTTTAGTTATATTAAGTTAATGTAATATCGTTGAAGTTACTATACTATTAATACTACCATGTTTCGAGTGCTTTAATAACCTTATCAATCGCTCTATTGTTTATTCATTTTGCCTTGAACCACAGCTGATTTTTACTCGGGGGGGGGTGAGGCTGTATTAAACACAGAAAGTTACATTTCGAATATAAAATATAAATTTTATGCGTGCAATTCTTTCGTCTCTCGACAGCATTTTACTTTATGTTTGTCTTCCGTAAATCGAATCCTTTTCAGTCAAATGTTTTCATGTGTATTATTTTGAAGTTGTAAAAATCTTAACATGTTTGAAAAGCTAATGAAACTTAACATTTTCTGCATTACAGTTGTTTTTGTTTGATTTGGTCCTCATATACCAGAGAATAAACGAGTAGAGTATCATTTGAGTTCTTTAATTGTTTTGCAACATTTGTTGATTGATTTTTTCAGCGGAAAATTCCCGTGTGTATCTTTCTGGAGCCAAAGACGGAGAAGAATGTTATATCAATGCAACCTACGTGCACGTATGTTGAAGTATCGATTTTATACCGAAACACCCCGAATACTACCAATGTTCTTTGAACTTTAATTAAGATAATAATGTAATATAGGGATACACTCAAGCCAAGGCCTACATCGCCACGCAAACACCACTTGCTCACACCATCAACGACTTCTGGAGGATGGCATTTGAAAGGAAAACGGTCGTCATAGTAATGTTGAATACCATTAGCGAGGTACGCAGTTCAACATGTGTGCGTGTGTCTACGTTTATTAAAACGTATTAAATGTATCAATGCAAGAAATGCCTAGTTAATGACGAGTTTTCATTAGATTTTTGCTTTGTTGTGACGTCATCTTTGAGACAAGTTAGATTTTCATGGCTGCCTTTGCAGGTGGTTAGTTTGTGTAGTGTTTTCAATGGTCGCCATGTTGGGTTAAAATCCCATTAAGTGAAAAGAATTTACGTTAATTTCATTGTCTTTCGAACATCAACACTTTGTGTACTAACCCAGAGTGGCCGCTTGACGTTAAATGCAAACACTCGATTAAGTTAGCTTATGATATACGTAGGGCTTGGAAAGTTATCCTAAGTATTGGCCCGAAAAACCCAACAGGGAGCTACAGTATGGTGATTTATTTGTGGAACTGATGTCGTTCGAGAGTCGTGGACCCATCGTCCTGCGTAAATTTATCATCCGCAGCAAAAGCACGGTGAGTTACTAAACAGTAAACTGCCAATATTTGATTTTTTTATTAATGCATGTGATTTGCACGGTATTTAAGCTTGGAGGAACGGGTCTATTATATAAATATTGCAGGCGGCTTCAATTTTTTGAATATTGTTATAAATTGCCGTTAATGTAGAATCATTTTTTAATAAATATTGTTAAATCTCTAATGCTGCTAGTTTTATGCAATTCAGTACGTACCTTTTGTTTTAAGAGCGTCCATACCACTAATTACTTCAAAACTCATGCATTGAGCTAAGCTTGAATTGTACTAAAAAAAGTTAGTTTGGTATCTACCTTTTTAAATGTTCTTTGTTTGTGATTTGCGTAGGCAATCTAATGCCAAGAGCCAAGGCAGGCACATGTTCATTCCATCCATTCGTTCTTTCACTCACTCACTCACTCACTCACTCACTCACTCACTCACTCACTCACTCACTCACTCACTCACTCACTCACTCACTCACTCACTCACTCACTTACTAATTCACTAACAGTGAAGGCTCGGCTACATCAGTGCTTATGGTTGAAAAACTTTCTTTGGGTTAGGGAAGTTTTTAACTTGCCTAGAGCACTTACGTTGACATAAATTTTCGAAAACCATTGCAGGAAGAAGCAGTTGTGGAACACGTTGTCAGACATGTGCAGTTCACGAGGTGGCCTGAACACGAGTTTCCAAAGAACTACGATGTCGTCCTTGATCTTTTGAACGCCGTTGAGGAAGCGCAACAGCGTTCTCCCAACGGAGTGGTAATTGTTCATTGTAGGTTAGTTCCAGGCCTCTCTCTTCTTATCGAAAGGGCGCATAGTTTGGTCAATTTTTGTTTCTAAAAGTGTATTACATTTCCTCTCTCTCGAGCATTTTCTGTGGAAACATTCATCGTTTAATTTCATGAAAATCATGTTTTTTTAACAAAGCCTTGACAAAGCAAATTGCTTGAGAGAAAGTTTTGAATTTAAAGACTCCAAAAAGAACATGGAATACCAAAAGATGTTTCATATAAAAACAAAAAGTTATTTTCAGACTGTTACTCTATAAAAAAAAAACAGTTGATTTTGTCTTATCTTATACCTTCGAGTTGCCACACCTAGTTTGATCAATTCTTTACTCTGTGTTGTATTTTGAATAAACTCCTTTCGTTTGGGTATTCTATTTAATCACGTTCTTTGTATCCAAACATTGAAACGTTTGTTTAGCAATGGAGCACATAGGACTGGGACCTATCTGACATTGGCCATCCAAAGAGATCGTATTCGAACAGAGCATGTACTTGATATCTTCCGATGCATCAAAGTGCTGCGAGAAGAACGCCCACAGTTCGTTCCTAATGTGGTAAGGTCAATGTTTGGAAATAAGCTAAAACATGTGATATTGTTTTTTACAATATTACCAAAACTTGTCGATTAATATTTTTACAGAAGTCATTCGTTAGACGAGTATCACCACCAAGATTTTATTAAATAATGAACCTTCAGAATCGATAATTGTTATAAAATTCCAATATAAAACAGTCGAGATTAGTTCAAGGCCTGTGGTATGAATACTAGATAAAGCTTCCATGATATTTTTTTCGATAGTTTCAAAGATTTTAACAAATCATTAGCAGGAATATTTATGCTTCATGCCACTGAAGTCGTCTGTCGTATTGTACATTCATGTCTGAAGGTCTGCTTTTTGTACAACCTCTACATAACTTTTGTGAATGTGCGGGTGGCTTAATTTAGCGCAAGATTTGCTTCTTGTCTCCATCCCCATCAAGACTCATTTCCGTGACTTTACCTCTAATTATCTCATCTTACCACCCAGGCCCCCCACTCGAATTATATCGACGTGATGGAAGGAAGATTGAACTCGATTGCATTATCTTACCTTTCAACCCTTGCTGCAACTCATTTTGCAATATCTTTTAACTTGCCTGTTACATTTCCCATATAAAACTTGCAACTAATTTAACACATATCCATGCATATACTATGTTCCATCGAGACGTCGCAATCTCTAGTTTATGTTAATGAGGTGTTTTATGCTTTCAGGAACATTATCGGTTCTGTTACTACGCCATGTTAGCCTTCGTTGAATCGTTCAAGACTTACGACAACATTCCCAAAGTTCAAAAGGAGTGAAGTAATTTTTTCCTATTATTATAAGACATCATCAAATGAATTTCATAATGTTCGATTATTTGCGTCAAAACTAGTCGAAATAGATCCTCAAAAGGAGTTTTCGCACCTGTCAGACAGGTCAGTTCCAAAAAAAATATGAACGCATTATGTTTTAATCACAATTAATTTTTAATAGAAACTAACGAAGCATGACATGTATGTTTAAATCTTACCCACCCCCACCCCCCTCCCCCTTTTCTGATTATAAACTTTCTGCTGTCTTGATGAAAACTGAGAAAAATACGACAAGAAAAATAAGGAAAATACTTAATTCTTACGTTTTATAAACAACGATAGTTGCCCGTAAAATTTTGCTATTTATGGGACCTACCCTAAACTTTAACATCATACAATCCTTTACTGGCACTCAAATATTGGGGGTTGTTGCATTAAAATTGATAAGAATAATTACAGAAAAAGGATATTTGATGAGGTTTAAATATTTTGAATATAGTTATCGTTCTTTGAATAGAGGTTTAAATATTTTGATTATAGTTATCGTTCTTTTAACATACGGATTTGTGTTTCAATTACTTTGTAGCTAGCTGCTGGACGGCAGGATTTGCTTGTAATGTAGAATGTAGACATCTTGTGAAATAAAAAATTTATTTACTGATCAAAGGCCGTTTGTCGTGTACGGCTGCTGTATCGATAACAAAACATGATGATTTTCAGTATTAGGATAAGCTTGCTGTAGATGAACTTGCCTGTTGCTGTCGCAGGCTTGTTGGATAGTCACACTTGCTATATTGCTATATGATTAATGATATGGTTGAAAGAGTGGTCAAGGAGTTGTACTGAACCTTACTAACAGGACAATAACGTGTCGGATGAAAAGTTGATTTTCCCAACGAAACATGGGATAGCCATAAGGTAAGTGCGCCAGGAAAAATTATTTTTGCTACTTGTTGAAGCGTCGCTAAACTGAATGTTGTAGTCGGCACATGCGCGTTGATGTTCTTTGTAATCACACAGTATAGAAACATACAGTAGTCTCACTCCACTGTGCAGCTTGGCGATGTATATTTCATTAGATTACTGGCTGCGGCTAGCCATCTCTGCCCTCCTATTAGCCGAAAAAAGCAATTGACTGGCTGCCACTAAACTAATGCATGCGTAATATGCGCTACACAAAAAATGACTCTAGACTACTGGGACTACTGTTTGTTTTTATACTGTGGTAATGATAAACCTACTGCACCTTACTAAAGTTGATTTTAAGTCAATAATTTTTTCAACTCATTCTTTATCGTCGCTTCTCTCACTAAGTTTAGTCCACTCATTCGTTAGAACTGAACGTTTTATTAAGTCATTCACAACTACCTCGAGCAAATACTGTTGTCGTTTATCAATGGATTGCTTGGACGAAAGACTTTAGTTATAGTTTCAGAAATTTATTGGCAAGACTGTTTTGGGAATCCATGATGGCGCAGGCGGAATACTGAGACTTGTTCTTTTATTTTAGTGTAAAATCATTGAAAAAGGACAAACGATGACTTTGAGATGCACATCAATATCAAGGTAACTTTGCTTAACTTTTGTGAATATTATTTTAGCTGATAATAATATCATTATATGGCAGTGTACTTGGCGCATTTTCTTGCATGAGAGTTATGGATTTCTTCATAGTTCACCAAAGCTTGGTTAAAAATTGTTCTATCAATACATTAATTGCAGTTGAAGAAAAGACACGGGTTGTTATGGCTGGTATTATATTTATAACATGTATAAAACGCGTTCTATGACTATGATATAACTTTCAATTTTCGTTTATTGCTATTGAAATCATTCATGCATTCAAATAATCACCATTGAAATATTATGCAGTTATGCTGTTTTAATACTTGCATTAATATAAACAATTTTATTGCCTCGATGGTCTGCTTTGAAAATTTATGATTTATACTTCCGTGTTTATTTGACCCTCGTCTGTCATTGCAATGAAAAATATAACGATTCCTGTTTGAAATTCACGTATTTGAGTAATTGAATTATGATGGAAATCAATCAACATTATCGCTTCTTCATTTTCGCGGCAATTTTGCTCTTTTCTATACAAGGTAAGACATTTTAAAGTCCAATATCATCGTTACTTAAATTATCTTCGCTCTACTGTTTAATGTTACAAATCAAGTCAGCATTTTTATCTTTTCAACTCGCAACGAAATAAATATATTAGAAGTTTCCAGTGCTGTGTTGGTTTAATGTGTATAACTGCATGTGCTAAGTTAATTTTTGTCGTAGTTGCTAAAAAATTGCTGAAATGTAAGATTTAACACGCATAATCTCTTTCCGTGACTAAGCTGTTATAGTATAGTTCTCATTAGGCGGAGTTAAAATGTTTGACTTTGGTAATTCATTGCGAAAGTAGAAAAGTTGAAAAGTTGGTTAAAGCAGTGGTGGATAAAAGAATACGTTCATAACACTTCTTAAAGTAAAATAATATACTGTGGTTTCAATGTTTTGTGGTACTTCATGTAAAGTGTGTATCGAAGTTGTCAGAAAACAAAGCTCTCTTTTTCCCTCGACTACCCCTTTTAAAAAGTAGTTATTGACATACCTTGTGAGAACTAAAGCTATTTTCATCATTTGTCTGATTTTTTTATGAGTAACATTTTGCTTAGCTAATTTTAGCTACGGTTTTTTTTTCTAGGGACCACTGGATTTTTCTTGAAACATACTATAACTGGAAAATGTGTTTATAGTACAAACATAACAAAATCATTCAATGAAACGCGAGATTTTAAGTACTTGGAACTCGCCGACGAATGTTTCGATTCGGCGTCTCAGTTCAAATATCGAAATAACGGCGCCATATTCAGTTTAAATGTTCCAGGATGTCTTGAGGGATTTGGCGATGATCCTGAAATATTATATATCAACGCTGAATCTGATAACAACAGTACAAGGCATGCTTGTAGAAACGAAACTGCTGTTGACCAAACCTTATGGGGAGGTTTACGTTTTCGCCATTCTCTTTCCAAAAGTAATCGGTGTGCAGTAACATATAAACCTGAAAACAATCAAAAAATTGGAGCTAAATTAAAAATTACAAATTGCAATGATGACGTAAACAAACGATTTATTTTCGGTAAAGGTTTACATTTTATTTCATTATGAACTATAATCTCCAAGGAATTTGTAAAACTTATAGTCTTGTACGGATGAAAAAGGGAATTTCACCTTTGTCTTTTGTCTTTTGAACTTTTGTAATCAAAAAAACAAAATGATGTGGAAGTAAGAAAGGCAAATAATGTGCTTTTTATGAACCGTGTAAAATATTCTGTGCTTTTTAATTGCCCATGATGAGATACTGTGAAAAAAATTCATTTACCTTCATTTGACTGTCTCCTGACTTTGCTATCAAATTATCTCCGTGATCACCAGTATTTCTTTTTTCTATGTTACATACATATTCAATTAAAAAGTACAAATAAACATTGCATGTATCCACAGGATTTAGATAATAATTTTTTGTTAGGTTAGAACCATACAAACCACGTCATAGTATTTGTCAATGGCATTTTTGATGTCAATATTTTTTTATTACCATGACAACATATCGGTTTATCAAGGTTTGAGCCAGTTCATTATCTGGGAAATTTCTAAATTTCGTATAGATAACACATGTCTATTAAAGGCCAGAAATTGAGAATGCACCCAATTCAATTGTTAGCCACCAAATTTTAATAAGACGCATATAGTCAGAAATAAATAGTAAAAATTTTCAGATCATGGATGATTTGTCCATGCGACTCTATAAATGTCAGATATTGTTTGTACGCAATTGAACATTCATGTTTTTTAATAGTATTTTGTTTGCAATTTATTCAAATGCTGCTGTAAGGAAGAGCACTAATGTATAAGAAAATTTTTGTTCTATAGGGTCTGCAACATGTCTTGAAAACAATATAACAAACGCTGGCTGTGGCAAAAGTCAATACATGGTTATAAAATTTGCAGAATATCGTAGTTTGAAAAATAATAATACTTGTGGTTCAAGTTATGATTACAGTTGTAGCTTTAACGTTACTTGTCATCTGAAAAGGCAGTGTGATGGTAAACGAGAGTGCAATATAATCGTGGATGATAATCTCTTTCCTTCCACAATTTGTTTTGGTTCGCACAAGTATCTGTACTTTGAATATCAATGCAAAGATAACATGACGTCATTCAATGAGACCTGCTTCAGTAAGTTCACTTCTAATGAAAGATTTTATTGCTTCTCTTTTTTGAAGCTAGCCAAGGTTTTTTAAATTAAAGATAGATTCAACAAAATTGTAATTATACATTTGTTGAATAAATATCAGCACATCATTTATCACTTATTTCTTATAATACCACAATTTTAGAAAAATTTTAAGATATTTTTCTCCAACGTTTTCTCGAAACTCTTTAACGTTACAGTTATACACATCCAGTCTATTTCGACAAATTTAACGATTTAAACAAAATTTTACATTATAACAGAAAGAAATGCAACAGAATCAATTCATGAGATACAAAGCAATTGTTTTCTAATTAATATCAAGAAATGTAATGTTCAACAAAAAATAACTTGAAGGAAATACATCTCACAACCTTTTTATGACTAATATTTTCGAAAAGCCTACTAATGATGGCACATATGCAGCATAGCTGTAATCATGAAAACGTTAAAAATAAAGGATTCATTTTTTTCTTTAAAGTAAATTACTTTGCTACAGCAATTTTTTAAATAATTTTCTTAAAACAAGAAAATAATTTCCTAAGAAAAGATTATTTCTTGTTGTAAGTATAAAATTTCTTAAAATGGTTTTTCTTAAGACATACAATTTTCTTAAAAAATTTTAAAAAATTTTAAGAAACCGGATTTTTTTTATTTTAAGAAAAAATGATCTTATTGTGAGATAATTTTCTTAAAATAAGTTCAAATTTTCTTTGGAGAACAATAAGAAAATTTTCTTCTAATAAGTCCATTTTATCTTAAAATAAGGAAAAAAAATTTTTGCTGTGTATTAAAGATTATTTGCTGCATACATTATATTTATCTTCCATTTTTTTATGTTGTAATTTTTCGTTCTCATTTATCGTAGAATTGCTTTCAAATAGCCCAATCGGTCTTCGAGTTCATTCCATTGCGTCAAGATATGTTAAAATATCCTGGATGTATCAACAAAATATTACAGTGAACCCTAACACAAGTGGCATAAATTCTTTGACTGAGCTTATGTTCATATTGAAGAGGCAGATAGAAGTATCAAATAAAACTGTGTTAGCTAATGTTAGCAGACCTTACATGTTGAGCGGTCTTAGTCCAGACACGATGTATACAGTTGTGGTGACTGCTGGAAAATCATTTTCAAATATTTTCTTCAAGACGGATGAAGATGGTAAGATTGTTTTTGGTCCTATTGATTCATAGACGGCGATAAGGGAAGGATGACAAAATTCATATGTGTGTATTTTGACTTTATTAGATTCTCTTGATTTCATTTTTGACTAGGGACTATACAAGACGAAACGTGACAATTTTTCAAGCTTCTGCTTATTATTTTTTCTTTTGCTTCGCTATGTAATTTTGGTTTAAATAACGAGACTAAGATTTGACTTGTTAAAATATTAAGCCTAGGAAAATATTCCAATTAAAGTGTACTAGTATTCTATAACCAGTGTTTTTTTATGAGATAAATGCATTTTTTTAAAATGAAGATTCTCAAAGATGCTGACCGTAAAATAAAATGAAATCACTCTATTTTCTTTTATATAAGGACAAAGTAATATCAATCGCACAATCAAACATCATGTCTGCTGTAATTATAAACACCTTTTCGATTACATATAAACTTTACGTAAAGTTTTTTTATTAGAATACTGAAAAATTTTTAGACTTTGTAAAACACTTTCATGCATATGTGTTTACAACTCAGTATTGACTTCTTGCAGTACCAGGAGGTCCACCATTGAATGTCAGTGTTGCTGTCATTAACAGTTCATCGATTTCCCTCTCTTGGGAGCCACCAGACGTAAACAAAAGAAACGGGAAAATAATCAGTTACACTGTTTGTCTAGCACAATGGCAAAATGTCACGTGTTTAAGAACGTTTACCACAGAAAGTCAAAGTTTAAACATCACTGAATTAAAACCATTGACAACATATTACGCTCGTGTCTCGGCTAGTACCAAAGCTGGTAATGGAAATTACAGTGAAAGTCAAGTGGCAATAACAAATGAACGTATGTTTTTTATTTTAAAAGTTTCATCTTCCCATGCAGTTTGTGTAACAGTCATCATGAAAGATTTGCGGATCATAATTTGTGTTTTATTTTTTGAAGTTCAACCGAGTGTAGTCGCCAACTCTACGGATAAAACATTGATGTATTCTTTGAGGATTCCTAATGTAACATATCAGTAAGTTGTTGAATATAAATTTTTTTTATTTGAAAGTTTGTTTTGACTCCGTAAACAATTTATTTCGGGACATTTTAATATATTCATTAGAACATTACATAAGGTATATGATTTTAAAAATTTATCAGGGAGCACTTCATGTTATATATTTTGAGTATTCGTTCACAAAAACTCGAATCATAGACCGACGATGCAAGCCCGTTTAAGATACTTTATTATTTTGTGCTTTGCACCTGAACAAAGGACATGCTGTCTATCCACACTTTGCTAGTTTTTATTTACTGAAATGAAGTACGAGATAACTACTCACTTTAACTAAGATAAAAGAATTTTACACATTTGATATACAATCATTGATTGAAATGCAACTGTCTGGAAAATAAATGTTTAGTTAGAAACATTTTTCCATGATCTAAGGCGTATTTTCTAAAGATTAGACAATTGCAAATGTTGACATTTTCTGCGTGGAGAAACCGTTTTCACACTCTGCAATTTCCTTCTTGTTTTATAGGTATTTCTTTGTAATTGTTATGGAAGGTGACAAACCGAATCCCCCACCACCTTCTCAATTAGAAATTGAAGAGTTGGAAGAGTATTCATGCCTTTACATTGCTGCCGTGATTAAGCTCGAAGGTGGGGGCCTTTTCATGTTTACACTTGGTGATGGCTCTAATTCCAGTATTACGAGACCACGGAAACGACGGTCTACCGAAAAAAATTATTATAATCACCCATTGAAAGCCAACACAAATTATCGAGTTTTCCAAAGAGTCGTGTTAAATGATACGGTAATATTTTTTTCTTGTTTTTAGATCACATGCAATGGCACGTCACGTTTATTAATCAAATATTTCTATCCATTTTTATTTTAGGGAGCTTATTATTCAACCGATTGGAGTCCTATTGCAAAAACTGGGCCTGCCAAAACTGCTACTTCTCCAACTCAAACTCTTCCTTCTCCTCAAACTACTCCTAAAACTCCTTCTCTCCGAACTCTTTCACATCAAACTGCTGCTCTTCAACCTACTCCTCAAACTCCTCCTCCTCAAATTTCACCACATCATTTTTCAACTTCAACTTTGACTCCCATGTTAACTCTATCTTCGACTCCAACTTCATTTCTTACTCCAAGTAAGTTATAGTCTGGCTTTATTCTGTAAACTTCTGGTATGCAACATACCATGAACCAAAGTTAAAAATTTAAAAGCAACACAAATTTCAAATTTGGAAAAGCCAAAAAAGCATAGAAATATCCATTGAGTTAAACATCTGCTATTTAACGAGGATGAAATTGATAAAAAATTCCGTATTTTAAAACTACGCATGTTTTTCAGCTAAATATATAAGCAATACCAACCTGGTGATGTCTAAGCATAGAATTACTGTATCTGAAAAAATAGTAAAACTGTTACATATCAATTTAGCTAACGCATTATCGGAAGTGCATTAACTATATCGATACCATGCATTTCTTGATCTTCAGGTGTTGGTAAAGATGACGACCTGAACATGCTAATTATTATATCTATTGCTGGTGGTGGTGGTGTAGTTTTTATTATCGTTTTGATGGTCGTCGTAATTTGCTTAAAAAGGTAGGAACGTCATTTTTTTAAATGGCAATAAATTATTACCAGTCTTTCTTCAATTCATAACATGATAATTACTTTTTAGTTAAAGTAAATGGTTTGGACGTGGGAGTATCGTAACATGTTTGCTAAATTTTCATTTTTTTCAGTTTGCGTTTTTTGAAGCTGCAATAATTTTAATAATAGTATATCTCGGATAGAAATTGAGAAAAGAAGCTTTTACTATAATGCAATTCGATAGTAAATATTACAACTATTATATAAATATTAAAATTATTACATAATTATTATCAGAATTCACTTCCCACCTGGTAGATCCATGGTCACCGTTATAATGTAATTGTGTAAAACATTTAAATAAACAATGTTACTGAGTTTTTTAATTAAATTTTTGTTCAATATAGCTAAGCTCAAATTGTTACGGTATTTCTTAATATTCAAATTTTTATATTATCATGTATCTATTATTTTGCTCACACATCACAGCTCTTAGCTATATTGATAGAAATGACTCTTCTCTCGGCCAGAACTTTAAACAAAAGTATACAATAACAACTTTTTCTAGAAGACGAGATGTTAGGAAAAAAACGAAATTATATTTGCAGTCTGAAGAACAAGAAGAAAAAACACGTGAATTTTCCGTTAGCAATCCAGCGTTTATCACTGATAACGTCGATGGTCCTGTTGAAACGAGTATTGAAGATAACAACACGATTAGCGAGTCGATTCCCGAAGACGACACATACACAAACAATGAATGTAAGTTTCACAAAATGACAATAGCTACTTTATAAATTATTCATAGCTCCTTGGATCCTTTGTATTAGACTTGTGATGAGATTTTAATGGCCTTGTTAATCGTGAAAACGTCGAGGACATTTTCCATATATATGGGAGTTTATTTTATTATTCTCGTCATGTGTTTGAAAAGTGGAGTTGAATTGGGTTTCAATACAAATCTGTGTAAAGTAAATGGTTTGAACCCGGGAGTGTCGTTACATTTTGACTCTGAAGATGACTACCGCTAAGGTTGTCGAAACGTCAGTCAACAACAACAAAAACAGTCCTTCTCAGGACTTTATTAACCTGGACGATCATTATTTACAAACATGTAACAAATCTGTGTGTCAAATAAATATTATCTTTGGAATTTTTATACCATACATGCCTGCGATATATTTAAAATTGTAAAATCAGTTTCTCATCATATGCTTGATGAACAAAATTTGCCTAATTTTTCTACTCGATAGACTTGTTACAAGCCATTAAAATGCATTGCTCCTTAATCCTTTTATGGGTAGCTGAGATTAGATAGGTTGTTGAAATGATGACCTTGGATTAACCCTTTTGATCTGGCAAGCAAAGTTTTTAGTTCAAAGTTTGTTCATCATGTTCTTTCATATAATAAAGACAAATTATTTTGAAAGTTGAATGCAAAATATTTTTGTAGGCATTGTTAGGGACGTCTTTAAAATTATATCACGAAAGATTATCGTGATCATTCATCAGAAAATCAATGAATGAAAATAAATTTCAAAAAGAGAGAAGAATTTTTCTCGTTGAAAAGGGATGATTTGGGAAAACGGACACTGACTATTAGCACACTCTTAATTAAGCTGTAAGTAGTATTTTATATGCGATAGTAGATGCGTTATTCCATCTTAATTTTTAGCCATTGTGGTACGGAATCATTTTCCAGTTCCTCTTGAAAAGTTTAATGAACACGTAATAAAACTGAGACAAAAGAACATGCAGGAATTAAAACTGGAATTCGAGGTAACGTTTTTATGAGTTCTCTTGTATTGACCACCTAAACAAAGTTCCATATAGAGTGTCTATACATATATCTTTAAACACGAGGTCCCCCTTGCAAAAACTACAAGACAAGAATGCATAAGGAAAGAAGTTTCAGTAGCTATACCTCGCCATTCTTATATAATGCTTGCTGTTGAGAGATTGTTTTTAACTTTTCTTAAATCAGGATTTACCAAATAATCAGAAATGCGACTGGGCTGTTTCCAAAAGTGCTCTAAATTCTTCGAAAAACCGATATGGAAACGCAGTGACATGTAAGACTATTAAAAAGTAAACCTTTCAATTCTGACAAGAACAAATGTATAAAAAAGAATAACATGTAGATCTTTTCTGGCCACAATACCTTGAAATCAATTAGCTAACACAGTAATAGATAAGTTCACGAGACTCATTTTATGGCTAATAAAGCCTGATAAGGTCGCACTTTAACAACGTACATCATTGAAAATTACGTAAGACAAAAACTCAAACGGAAAATTATCTGTTTGTAAAGACATTAAAGACGTCAACTGTGTGTTTGAAAGACTGTTTTGTTTCTCACAGACGACCATTCTCGTGTGATTCTCTCTGGTGATGAAACAACTGATTATATCAATGCTTCCTTTATTGACGTAATTATCTTTGAAGTTTTTGTTCGCAATATCATCGTTTATTAATCATAAAGATAAACTTAAATCCATCAACTTTGTAGGGAAAATCTGAGAAGTATTACATTGCAACCCAAGGTATCTGAATTATTACAAATTCCATCATCCTTTTGTTGTTAATCAGCTTAATATGTTATGTACTGGAATGAGAGGGAGTGTTTGTGGTGTCATTTTAAGCTTACTATGTGCATACTGCAATTTCCCTGTATGGGATCTAAGACTCAAGATAAAAAATGTAAATGTTAATTTTTGGAAATTGCAAACTACCAATAACGTTCTTCTTTTTCATTTTTCAGGACCCAAACCTGTAACAATTGATGATTTCTGGAGAATGATATTTGAACACAAGTGTTCAACCATTGTTATGTTGACGACTTTAAAAGAAATGGGGAGGGTACGAAAATATTTTTGCTATATTGATGTCATGTCTATGATCATAGAAGATTGTATCTTTGTGCTTTTCAATTCTGAAAGGTAAAATGTGAAAAATATTGGCCAAATGAATCTAACTCATACGGTGAAATTAAAGTGACCGTCACTAAGTCAAAAATATTTGCTGATTACGTCACGCGCATCATGCTTGTTGAAAAGGTAAGTTGCTCATTTCCAGCCTTTATTTCTCTTGATGCCCGTATGTTTATGATTCTTTGACGAAGATATGATACAAGACAGAGCATAACAGTCCAAACTAACCAAACAGTCCTATATCAATGCCTTAACGTTCATTCACAACAAGAACGAATTCACAGAAAAATGACTGCTTTTCACATATTTAGCAAGATTGATTCGGTTAGATTGTTTTTAGATTCTTCATAAGAGTGAGAAGGACAACAGCGTTGAGTTCTCCGAATGAAAAAGAATGCTCGCTACAAGAGTACTAGAGAATAGCATTTAAAAAGCTCATTGATAAATTAAAGACATATTACATTTTTACAAATATTAAGTCTAGTAGAAGAAGTACACATAAGAACGTATCAACATAGTCTATTGACTCCGTTTTCTTATCAATATACTAAAGGGTTTGATTTATGACGGGAATGGAACATTGATACTCGTCACAACGATTAATATCAATAACATCAGTTCTTGCTTTAATAGGACGGAGAACAACTCAAAGTCGAGCAGTTTCACTACAAATCATGGCCGGATTATGGAGTACCTCGATATCCAACGCAATTGTTGACTTTCACAAAACATTTTAAGCTATCGCACAAGACAAGATCCGGTCCAGCCGTCGTCCATTGCAGGTTAGTCTGGAAGATATTAACTGCGTCGTTACAGAAGCTTAACATATTCTCTAAACATTCATTGATTTTTGTCATAAGCAATTTATTTCTTCGTCAAAAAATTTTCTTATCGCTATTATTCTCTATGACACCAGACTATTGTCTAAAGTATTTTAGTGCTTTTATTATTCACATCATATCATCGAAAAGTTTTAGTATTATAACGAACTGTGTACGTTGCTCACAATTGGAACATCTGCCAACCAAATGTCTTGCACACCTTGCATATAGGATTCAGTAAAAAATGGCAACTTGGGTTAACTTGTTTGAAGAACTTATAAACTATATTTATTTGCTTTTTTCCTCAGTGCTGGTGTTGGTCGAACTGGAGTATTTATTGCCATAGATAAGATCATGGATGATCTTGATGATAATCATGAAACAAGTGTTGATGTATTTGGTTTTGTGAAAGAGATGAGATTGCGGCGCATAAACATGGTCCAGACAATGGTATGTTACTTCAGATTATCGTGGCAATCAGCACTGATCGAATAGCAAAAGTTAAACTGTTTTGTGGTAAAGTCAAAAAAACTTTAGTTCATCATAAAAAGTGTATTGTTTTATGCTTGCTTTCGTCCACTTTCCGTAGACTTAGTTTGACAAATTGACACGATCATTATTGTCAAGTTGATTGAGAACATTCTTGTTTTCTTCAAAAAACATTATGAAATTTTGAAAGTGCTTACAAAAGTTGAGGCAGCATGAAAGCAATTTGAAAGTATATCAGCTCAAAAAATTTTTAAAAGAATGATTTCAAATCTACGCAAAATCTTAGATTTCTATATGTAGCTAAATCTATACAGGATCAATATATGTTCATTCATGACGCCATTATCGATCACATTAAATGCGGAGCAAATGAAGTTGAGGCGTCAAAAATCAAGGTGGAAATTCTGCATTTGTCTAAGAAGAACGAGAATGGAAAAACAGGATTTGAAGATAAATTTGAGGTGTGATATTTTTTTTAACTAGCTAATTGTCATTTTAGCGCAGAAAATTATCAGATTTATAAAATAGAGAGTTTTAATATCACGTCGTTTAATTATGTTCAAAACAACAGACCTGAGCACATAAACACTCAGGTTTCAGGATCAGATCATTCCTGATTAATGTATTGGACTGTAGTACAGAGGAAATCGAAATTTAATATCTCACCACTCATGATATAGCCAATATAGCTACTGAAGTAAAAAACACTCAATCTTTAAAATTAGGTCGTTCCTGAAAAAGACACTAGACCAAACCATATACTCAAGATCCAACAACATGTAGTAATCTTGATGAAGACATGTAATCAAATCTTTCTTTTTCAGCGTTTACAATCAGTTACACCAGAATTCCCGGAAGAACTTTGTGAAGCTGCACTTTCTGATGAGAACAAAAAGAAAAATCGTAATCCTAAAATACATCCAAGTATGTTATTTATATAAATCGAGGGACAAATGTCCTTTTTAGTGTCATTCATGAAAGTGGTAAAGATATCATACATACAAATATTCAAGCCAATTCAGACGCATATCTTGTTAACTTAATGTTATTTATAAAAACGATGAAGCACTCAACACTGGACTTTCTTTAATGTATTGAATTTTTATTGTTTTGTGGTGGAAACACAAGCTGTGTTTCAAAACTTTGTTTCTTTTTAGCTGAATCCAATCGTCCTGCTCTTCGACGTATTGAAAATAAAGACAGTTCTGATTACATAAATGCGTGTTTTGTTGATGTAAGTAGTTCTTCAAACATTTTGCAAGAATAACAAATCATAGCAGTTTGCCAAAAAAGTTGATCTTTGTATCCTGGTTAGTAAAAGATGAACCTAAAACGGCTTGATGAGTTTATACATCCGTGATCTATTTTAGGGTCATTTGGGAAAGAATTACTTTATTGCAACACAAACACCTTTGAAGGAAACAGTAAACGACTTTTGGAGGATGGTAACTCAGCATGAATGTACGACCATTGTTTTGCTGAATCATCTAACTGAAGATGATGAGGTGCGTGACGTTTTTTATAAGAACGGAAAAATTTTAATAAAGAAGACAGATATGAATTTTGAATATTCAGCAAGAATGTTAAGAATAAAGTAAATGGTTTGAGCCTGGGAGCATCAATACATGTTTGTGGATGTAGATCGTCCAGGTTAGTAGAGTCCTGAGAAGGACTGTTGTTGTTGATGCTAACTAACGTTGACTTGACTCTGAAAACGATTACCTCTAAGGTTGTGAAAACGTGAGCATTGACATCAACAACAACAGTCCTTCTCAGGACTCTTTCAACCTGGTTGATATACATTCACAAAATATTTAGAATGTTGAGTCAGTTCAGCTATGGGGGAAGGTTCACACTTTATTTGTTGTATTTGTTTATTGTACGTTGAATTAAGCTTTATCGTATTTGCTTAACACGTATATACAAGATTTTCATTTTCTCTCAAAATGTATGTGATAAAGAAAGAAAATCTTCTCACTTAACACGAATATGTCTAAAAAGATCTGTGTCTTTAAAACTTCGGTCATTCTCAAGTAATTCATTAGCATGCAGCTCTAAATGATTTCACCTTGCAACCCTCCAAGGTAAAGTTTTTAATGCGGAATATAGAAAACACATTGGTGAACTTTTAATTGCCTATTATTATGAAAGAAAGGAAGGATTTCTTCCAACTATAATACATGGCCACATGCCCTTGGAAGAAATTACTTTTTTTGAAAGATCTCTCGATATAGCAAATGCTGAATGGCATTTCACCAATCAAAAAGCACTTGGTATTCACCTTTGAACTTATTAGGAATATCCAATGTTCTGGCCCACGAAGAGAGCAACAAGTCTTCCTTATGGAACATGTGCTGTTTTGTTTGATTCAGTCGTAAAGAAAGACGATATCGTTATCAGAAAGTTTATCGCCTCTCCATCTATGGTAAGTAATGTAATTAACAATTCTTCTTCATTTGGTTATAAAATTAGAGTACTGAATAAATTAATTTCACATATTTTCCCGGAAATAAAATGGATTAAAAGAACAACGAAAATTGCCAAAGATTCTCAGTAGCAGAGCAAGCCCGTTTCTTACGTCTAAAAGGCAAATATTTTTATGTGCTATGACTGAAAAATCAATGAATTGAACTAATTTTCTATGGAAATGAAACAAAGTTTTTCAGAAAAATTATAATCGTTGGAGTAAAAGATCGTGCTGGCTTTGCCACTGATGCTAATAATAACCACAAAACAGGCATGCATCAATTTTTGTCACTCTAAAAACCAACATAATAAATCCATTAAAACATTCTCATAAATTCAGCTTATAGTGGAAACAGTAGACATGCAAAATTGCAAATGGTTCTTACATTTTGGCAAAACCATAGAAAAAAAACCACGGTTGGTTTTGAGGAACAGTATTTATACAAAGGCAATTGTATTTTACTCTATGTCTATAATTGTCAAACATGATCTCCGACATTGACCAGAGTAGTAATTTCATCCTGCTGATTTAACATCTCTTTATTGTTTAAGCTGCTGTGACAGTTGCTTAGTCCTGCTTGAGTTGCCTCTGGTTCTAAATTTTTGATGTTCGTGCAACCACCAACAAACACGTTTAAGCTTATCATATCATGCCTAAGTCAAGAATAATCTTTTATTATTAGTTTTATAGTGCAATGATATGTTGGATTTTTATATCTGCCAAAAATTTTAATCTATTCAGTACAATCCTGAGAATGATAGACAATGGCAATGGTATATATTACAAAACACACCAATTCTTTAGGACGTCAGAGAAGGTCGAATGGTCCGAATGATTCAGTATTTATCATGGCCAAATCATGGCGTACCTAAAGATGTGCACAGTTTGGTGGATGTGCTAAAAGAGGTCGAAGAAGCGCAAAGAGCTGTGGAGGAAAAAGGCCCCGTTGTCGTAGTTTGCAGGTAAAACACTAAAGGTTTCCTTCCGCAGACTAACATCGCAAATTTTAAAATTTTAAGAGATCATTTAATAAAATGACCAAGTAAAATGTAACTTAAACTTTAACTGCAATAATTACACAGCCTATTAAAAAGTGCAAGGTAAGAGGGAGCATTGCGACACACGCTCAATTTTTCAAAAGAAGTCTTTGTCCATCCATAGTCCTCTTGTTCGCTGCATGTTCACAAAACTTAGCTCAATTTGTTCTCGCATCACTAGATCCATATGTATGTTAGATTTTATCCCAAACTTAAGTGAGTGATAACATGTTGGTTGTTAGATTTCTGAGAGTTTTTTGTCTTTTTAAAACATTACAATGTAAAAATTTGTAAATCAAAATTAAAAATCAAAAACAATTAAAAGTCTGTTACTGTGTTATCTGTTACTTTTTTGTTGACCATAAATTTTTCTCAGTTGATTATTAAATTGCGTAGAACTTTGTTATGTATAATGTTAACAATCTTACAAGACGATACTTCACCCACAATTGCACCCTTAATATAAATTTAATCCAAAAGCGAAACAATGATAGATATTTTTTTAATTTAGTGATGGAGCAGGTAGATCAGGCACCTATATCACAATCTCTAATCTTGTGGATAGAGTTAAAATCGTCCAAGTAGTAGATGTGTTTCAGTGCATAAAATTGATCCGAATTGGACGCCCACAGTTTGTTGAGACAGTGGTAAGTTAGAGCCTTTGCATCAGTTTTACATTTAACTGTTTGTATAAAATTAAAGTTTTAAATGCTGAATAAAGATTTTTATATGAAATATTTCATATATGTGACGGTTTGCACTTTCGTGTGAAAGTAAAATAGTATGTGTGACCGAAATTCTACGAAATGTTATGTAAAAATTCTATACATCAATTTTTAAAGATCTTTGTTGCGCTTTTGAGTTCCAGTTTTTCCCATCATTTAAAATTTCTAAGTATTTGCTTGTGATGTTTTTATAGGAACAATTTAAACTTTGTTATGATGCAGTGGCATGCGTGTTGGAATCTTTCGAAGGGTATTCAAATTTCGCAGATTTAGGAACGACTTGAATTTGACTTTAGTTTGCACTTGTAATTAAATGTTGGTACTTACCTATATATACACCTATGTGATCAGTCTTTAGCATAAGGTCAAAGTAAAATACTTCATAGAATTGATAAATAAAGGAATGAAGTAGATCTCATCAATATTGAATTAACTCATGCGAAATCTACTCGTATTAGGTAGGTAATAATAAACTATTTTATTCTATTTCTTTCGTATTGAAACGTATGATGTGATATATTATAACGGTTGTGTAGATAATTATCTGCAATTTTGGAATTAATGATATGATACGTTGTCACACGAAATAATTGCTGGGATGCTATGTGAAGTCAAAAGCGATTTTGCAAGTAGAAAAATTGCTTTGACATTGTAGAAACTCGTTTATGATCAACTTGACGTGGTACTGAATGTTGTTGAAGAAAACCCGCTGAGTTGGATTTATTGACTTTTGTAACGACTTATTCACGTTTAATTTACGTATAAGGTTTGTATCATTTTGGTCGCAACAATCTTAAATATTTTTATTTCAAACCTTTGTCATCACATCTGATTAGATAACTTTTGCTCCTTCTGTCAAAAATACCAGTTACTTGCATTAAGATTACAAGTGCAGTTTATCTGTAATTGTACTTTAAAAATATGTAATTGAACTGCAGAAATAAAGCCCTACTTTCATTGTGAAAACGTGTTATTATCCCCAAGTGTAAATACTGTAATCTGATTCGCTGAAAAGCAGTGAAAACCATTCTTTTCAATTGAAAAATATATGCGTTCAAGCATTGAAGGAGTAGAGAAGTGCAGTAATGATGCTGTTAAAATAACCAGATGTTTGGTGAAGTTTATAGAATTTTTACTTGAAAGAAAGAATAAATGTAATTTATTCTCCCTGCAAAGACCTTTATCCACCTACAAACAACGAAAAAATAGAATGAAAAATATATGAGTTCAAGCATTGAAGGAGTAGAGAAGTGCAGTAATGATGCTGTTAAAATAACCAGATGTTTGGTGAAGTTTATAGAATTTTTACTTGAAAGAAAGAATAAATGTAATTTATTCTCCCTGCAAAGACCTTTATCCACCTACAAACAACGAAAAAATAGAATGAAAAATATATGAGTTCAAGCATTGAAGGAGTAGAGAAGTGCAGTAATGATGCTGTTAAAATAACCAGATGTTGGTGAAGTATTTAGAATTTTTACTTGAAAGAAAGAATAAATGTAATTTATTCTCCATGCAAGGACCTTTATCCACCTACAAACAACAAAAAAAAAAAGAATGAGAATGGTGCGAGTCAATACAGTATTCTTTGTTAAATGTTCATGTCAAAAGTTAAGCTAGGGTTGCATTGTATGATCGTAAACAGCGTGTGACAAAATAGCCGTAAGGTTGTCCATAAGGAGCACGCGACGAGAGTGTTTAACTCATTTATATCTTTTAAAAAGTTTAGGTGGTCGAGTACAACCGGAATAAAAGGCGGCTTGAGTGTTCAATAGATGTACATTGCACAACCTGGTGGACTTTCCTATAATAAGTACATTTGAGACTATTATTTAATGGTGTAGCGAACTTTAAATTCCAAACTAGTGGAAGTTATATTGTATAAATGAGATTTCGTAACTTTTTATAGGTAACAAGATAGTTGAAAGTGTGACTGAGTTTGTACATTAACTTTGGAGTTTGTATTGATTAATTTTGATCTAAAATTAAGTCCTTTGGGCTATGGATTTGACGTGAATAGGCTGATGGGAAACAGCAATTGGGCTAAGGCTTCTTACCTATTTTTTTTAAAATATGTTCCACATAGGAAAGACACCCACAAATTTAGCTTCTGGCTTGAAAATATATGACATAATGCATGCTAAATTTTTGCAAGCTCACTAAATTTTCAAATTAAGAATGGGCACCAGGAAGCAGGAAATTTCAAATGATTTGAGCATTGTATGCAAATCATTTGTATGTAATTCATTTTAGATAATTTTTGTAATATATGCCGAAAAGGGAAGAAGAGACTGACAAAAATAACTACTATGAAACAGTTTCATTACTATTCTAAGTTTCTCGCATTATCAAATTGCGAACATGGAACACTCACAACTTTTGAAAGCTTCCAAAGCCTCTACATTTAACAGACCCCAGCAAAGCAAGCTCAAAAGATAAAAATACATATTCAGGATTGTCGAAAAAGTTATTATGGCAAAACGATAAACGCTGTGGAAGTCAATAAACAGAATCCTTTGTCTCATTTTGAATATGGCATCAAAGATCTTAATAGTAACTTGAATAATGGTGGTGAGAAACCAATCCTCGCGGAGAAAAAAAAACAATAGACTACTTGCTATATTGTATGACATTTGAAATTTAAATAAGGAAAATCGTTTGTTAAAATCATCCAACACCAACAAGGCGGCCCCGTCGTGACTTGCACAACAAAAGCATTCGGGAGTATTTTCACAATCTGAGCTGGATTTCCACTTGCAAGCTTTTTTGCACGAAGCGCTAATTTTATAGGCGACAAATTTTGTGCTAATAGGCATATGATTTCCACTAGTAATAATAAAACCACTAAATACAAAAAAATATTAAAACAAAGTGGCTAAACCAGTACATAAAAGAGTGCTTAGTATTTACGACCAGGAATATGTTTCCAGAAGCAATGTTTGTTTCGTCGTGGCGAACAGTTTGCGAATTTTATCGCTGTGCATATTTGACGTCTTTGAATGTCTGCGCATGCCTATATTCGAAAATTATAGCTTCGCACAAAAATATTCGCAAGTGGTAATACGGCTTAACACAGTATGCTCATGTTTACACTTGGTGATGGTTGGAATACAAGTATTTTGGGAACATGAACACAACGTTTTACCAATAGAGCAAATTATGATAGTCGTTGAAAAGCTAATTCTAGTTATCAAATTTTCCAGTAATTCAATTGTAATTTCAACATATGGCATCTCCATGCAGTATACAACGATTGTCTCGCTACAAATCACTGCAAAATATCAAGGTGATTGACTTAAAGTTGATATTTTACTTCAAAAGTATTTAGCATGTATGAAAGTTTTGAAATATCTTCACTCCACAAACAATCTTCGTACACACTAAAATAAATGCTGAATTATTTTCATTACATTAAAATGTCTTTTCTATTTGTTAAACGTGGTGTCTGGGGTCAAAGTAACATGAACGAGAGAATGATTCTTTCACTAATGAGTTCCAACTTAAAACTGTTTATTCATTTCTGTTTATAACATCCATGCGTATTATCAATCATGCATTATGCAGCTAGGCTGTTTGAACTAAATAAATCAATTTTTTGCATCAATGGTCAGCTTTTGAATTAGTTGTATGTTTCATTTCCGCATTCATTTGAGAAACGCCGAGCTTAGCAAGAGCTACAATATGATAATTACTATTAAATTGAAGGGCATCTTTGAAATTATATGCCTATACTTCCGTGTTCCTTTGACAAACGTCTAGCTTATCAAAAGCTATAAAATGATAACTGCCGTTTAAATTTTATGTTTTCTCAACAATTGAATGATGACAGAAATCCGGCAGTGTTCTTACTCGCTGATAATTACAGTTATTTTGGTCTTTTCTGTTAAAGGTACGTTATTTGGAGGTGAAATATTAATGTGTACGCCGTCGCTACACAATTAATCTTTGCTCAGCTATTTCATGTCACCAGTTAAATGAGTATGTTTCAGTTGTTATATCTTTAACTAAAAGAAAGTTTGTTGCTAGTAGATTGCGAGACTTGTGTCATTTTAAAAATTTTGTTTCTTGCGTTTCTCAGTTATTTCTTCCTGTCATGTTGTGTGAACAGAGATATTAGAAATACTGCCTTCAGTTTGTGTTGGCTTTATCCCAATAGTAATGAGTAGCAAGAAGAAAGTTGTTATGGCATGAATGTATTTTATAAATCGGCTTTTGTCGTTTATTAAGAGCGCCTGATACAATGGTTTGATATTTTGTTAATGTAATGCGTCATTTAATTTTAAAAACACAAGACTAACCAGAAATTTGAGATGAAAATTTCTTGTTGCATGCATGTTTTGACTTAATACTAAGTTATTATTTTCTCTTCATGATGTCCATTTACTTCTTTTAACTGAAAATAACTTAATATAATGTTGAAACGTGCAGGCAATAAAACATTTTGTTGTTTTCCATGCTGATTAATGCATGTGTTTGGTTTTGGCAAATTCATTAGCAAATATGAGGAAGTGCAAGGCCGGATTTTGCAAATGATGATAGATAATGCAGGTTTTTGTCTGTTCCTTAATTATTTTTCAATTGAAAAATACTTGCACGGAACTTATTGAAGCATGTTCAACTTGATAGTTACTTAATGATTATACAATGTTTAAAAACAACAATCATCACCTGTATTTAAGTGTTACGTTTGTCCATAGTGTGTCTTCAATCACTGTCCACAATAGCTACAATGGTCGAATAAGGAGAGATAAACATGCAAACTCTACTGTATACACAGAGAAAACAATGTTGCTCACAAGCACCTAGATTTTATAATCCTTATGAAGAACATTTTCAATTGATTTATGATTAAAACTCAAAACTCTTCGAGACGTCAAAAAATAGTGTTTTAAATAAAGTTTTCCGTTAAATTGCACCTAGAGCATAAATTGCACCCAGAGCACTGTATGACAAAAAAGGACTAGAACGTTGCAACCAAGGTATTCGGAACTCGAGAGTAACGTCAAAACCTCAGAAAATCATTGTCTAAGTGAAATGACATTACTCTAATCAAACAGGACAACTTAAAACTGAATATGGATGGAGTTGGTATAAAAAATTAGGCAACTGTGTCAAATACTTTAACAGTAATATTTAACATTTAATATATGGCAAGTGTCATTACCGGAAAAATGGCGCGCTTTCATTATAGTCAAGGACCTGTATAAGAGTTTGTATGCATTTTATTTACCGGAAGTTATCTCAACCGTTATCCCAAAACCGTTTCAAGCATTCATGCAATTTGGGTTCTCTCTTGTCAAACGGAACTTCTTTTGAAAAATAGTAATCTTCGATGATTAAATTAACGTTTAAAATTTCGAATTAGTTTCTCCATCATTCTTCTGTCCAGTGATAATCCAGCCAAATTCACTATTAATCGCAACAGGACTACCTTCACTTCTTATAATCTCGTCTCTCATGATATCGAAATAATAATCTGCTCCAACTAGAATGTCGATGTTGCTGTCCGTCTGTCGTCCAGAGAGGATATTGGTATCAGAAAGCTGCAACTCCATCAAATAAGGATAATGATTTAGATCAATTGTCGTTGTTAATGGAGAGCAAATATTTATGAAGCAAAGAGTTCAAAACACAGTTTCTTTTTGAATTTCATACCTTGTTTTTGTTTTTATAACATTGGCTCACTTCCTATGACTGAAATGAAAATCGGAGAATACTCAATTATTTATGCTGCTGCGGATGAACTTCCTGTTGATCAAAAACTCATAAAAGAAACGGGTATTTTGGCATTATATTAGGATACTGAACACTATCAAAACGACAGGGAAGCCTATTCCCTGTCGTGTTGATAGTTTTCAGTATCCTAATATAATTTTGATCAAGTTTTGTTTTCTTTTCCGGATTTTGTCAAATATCAAGTTTCGAACAATTTTTAATATGTATCAATGTCATTTTTTCAGAAGCAAATGGATTTTTTATTAAACATGTTCAATCAGGAAAGTGTATCTATGATACTGGGGCAGAGTATTCAAGATATCCTAGAAACATCCCAATTCACCTTACTTATTATCTGAACCTTACAAAGAACTGTTTTGACTCGACAGCTCAGTTTAAATTTCACCAATCTGGCTCCATATTAAAACTGAATAGAGAAGGTTGTCTTAATGGAGAAAGAGTCTTACAAGATTTGCTTTTGATATACGAAAAGAAAGGTGACATTGCTGCACCATGCAATGAAGCAAACGCCTTAACCCAAACTTTTCAAGGTGGAATATTCACTGCCGACTTTAATAAATGTGCAGTACCTCCTGGATATATTAAACGTCATGTCTACATGGGAATAGCTCAATGTAATGATGAAGAAGATCAGCGATTTCATTTTGGTAAGAAAATTTTTTTAATCTAATGAATGCACAAATTTAAAATCTTATTAAAAACCTCCATAAATCCTTAGCTATATTGTGCTGGCATCTACATGCTAGGTCACCGTCATCTGAAACTTTATCTTCATCAGATTCAAATTTACGTTAACAGGATTTTACAGATACGCGCGTACCGATTGTATTTTTTTTACCATAGGTTCGGTGGCATGTGCTAAACAAAAGATAGCGAATGCTAGTTGTTCTAAAAATCAATATATGGTTATAAAAGTGGCTGAATATCGTGGATTGAGTAAAGGAAGCTCTTGTGGCTCAAATTATGATTACAGTTGTCATGTTGATGTGACATGTGACCTTAAAAATTACTGTGATGGTAGAAGAGAATGTAATATAACTGTTGATGATAATCATTTTTCTTCGAATATTTGTCCTGGTTTGGAGAAATATCTTTACTTTGAATATCAATGTAACGACACAAGTATGCCATACAGAAAAATTTGCAATCGTAAGTAATATATAGGCAGAATAAATTTCGCTTTGTAATTTATCAGCCTTTGGACAAGTTTTGACCTGAATTTTTCATCGTATGGTAAATATTTTTACACTGCGTATACCATCAATTTAGAAAATTTTGAAACATTTTTCATTTTTGTCGGGTATCTTCTTCAAGAGTAATTTGTTTATTGAATTTGATTATTTGTTTATAGTCCAATTTAAGTTTAATTTTATCTTGGCAATTTACATTTTTCTCATGCAAACATCTCCTCTCGCAGTGATTTGATTTTTGAAAGTATTTGTACTAATCTGTGTTTGCCAAACAAAGACATTTACTTATTCATCTAATTTTACATATTTTAAAAATTCATACTACTGAATTCTCGAGCACATATACATACAACGGTATATTTATGTGAAGAAGCATAACACAGCGTTCACCTGATCATTTGGATGCACTTTTTTATTATCAGAGTTTGCAACCCAAAAGTAGAGTTCAACACTACATGGCTCATTGTTCACAAAAAAGTAACATCAAAACGAGGCTTACCTAATTGAAATGTAATTCTATAAAACATTGTAGACCAAAAATCTTAGAAGTCGTGCATGGCCGCTCAAGTCCCTACATATTCGGAAAAAAATTAAGGTTTAATGTTCTCAGACTCTTAGTTCTCTTAGGGTATTGTCGACTGCTGCGTTATCCCGAAACTTAAACTTCATGTACATATATTTTATTTGTCAGCAGTATTTGTAAACTTATGTTTAAAAAACACCACGGATTTCCCTTCGAGAAATACGCCATCTTTAATTGATATGAAAATGATTGTTTTAATTTGTGTAGTTCAGGATGTAAGTCTGTCTCAGTCAAATCTTCCCAACGAAGGTCTCGTGGATGTTTTTACCATGTATAGAAACTTCACCATCTGCAACAATGGTCTTTTACACAAAGAAAAGACAGTTGTTTGTGAGCACTTCGGATATCCTACCGCAGCATCTTTGGAAGGCTCAAGGTCGTTATCGTCTTCGATGCATCGATCGTTTATACCTGGAAATGTCAAATGTGATGCTCAAGTGAATGATTTATCTCAATGTGCTATCACTCAAAATAATGCTTGTTCGCAATACTCGTACCTAACATGTAAGCATACTCATTCATTCTGTTTAAAATCTTGAGATATTTTAGGACACATATGTATGATGTTAAAAAAAGTGTGGGGCTAAAGAATTTTCAATAAAAACATGTTACCTTTATCTTTAAAAATACTCATCTCTAACATCATGACTTGCTCTAATCACTGTCGGGTTACTAGTTACGGGGCGAGTAGTCTAAGACTAAGTTGTGAACTTTTAAGTGATATCTATTCCACGCAATAAGTTCAGTTTGTTAATGATGCTCGCTTTCCTTACACTCCTTTGCTTTTGCATTTCCTGGCTTGTGTTTTTAACCCATTTTGTAATCAATGAGAAAAATTTTGAAACGAAATTCGAAAAACTATTAACACTGTCTAGGTAATTAGGAATACCCACTATTTCATGGGTTCTTAGTATCGCGTATTTAAACAGTACGAACGCCATTTTTCTCATTATTAAAATGCTCGTATGGTTTTCAATAGCTTAAATGGTCTAAATTAAGCTCATTAATTAAGCTTGTCCGGAATAGCAAAATCTGTACACTAATTATGTCCAGATACCTAAGGCCTTGGTCTGAAAATCCAGGTCTATAGGCTTTAGCTCACTTATCCAGCCGAGTAAACCACTCCTGCTTACCTCGATTATCATTATGCTATAATTGTGAGTGCTTTCCAGTACTATGTGTTCATTTCTCTTTAGGTCATATTTGTGACAGGCCTTTATTAAACAACACGCGTCGTTTTCCAGACTCCTCATTTACTGCCTCGGCTTTAACAGAAGGTCATAGTGCTGCAAATGCAAGAATATCCAGTGGCAGTTCTTGGTGTGCTCCTGCTGCAAATGGCAATCATTATCTACAACTGAACTTTGGAAAACTTTATGCCATAAACACAATTGCGATCTTTGGAGACAATACAAGCCCAAGTTGGATAGCCAGCTATTACGTGAACACAACATTTGATTTGACAAACTGGGAATCAGTTTTTCACACGAATTCACAAAAGGTATTATGTGTAAAATTGTCTTTGAAAAAGCAAAATTCTCACATGTAGCTATGACCCAATTTTAAAATGGCAGTACAACCCTGAATATCTTTGGTTTTTCTTTAGCTTTTCAAAGGCAACAAAAACGCTTACAATGACGCTGCTATATCAAGCATCACAGGAGGTATTAGAACGAAAGCTTTACGGCTTATTCCGATAAAATACCATGGTCGACCATGCTTACGAACAGAAGTTTGTGGTGGAGGTAAATATGAGTCTGGGAATTATATGGTTTTTGTGAATCATTATGAAACAAATGAACACGAGTTTATTTTTTGAAGCAAGGCGAAACATTAAGTTAATTTTCTTAAGCCTGTTTTCGGATATAAAGTTTTGTTTCGTTTGTTATGTTTACGTTTTTGCAGCTTACATCCTAGTTTGGTTACTGAACACATTTCAGTGACTAATCACTGAATCACACAATTTCCTACAGTAAATAAACACAATACTTTTCGTTTACTCTTAATGTTTCAAAACATTGATATTTCGGATAAAACACAATTCAATGATTTTCAATAAACTAATCATGCATAGACATTTTTAGTTGGCAGTTGGAATAAACGACAATATAAGTTCATACAGAAATATATGTTCATTGACATATAGATCGTTTATAAGCGTTGCAAAAGAGATCTCAATGAAAGTCAATTAAACAAATTTACTTTGAAAACGTTTCTTTTAAAACGTTTGACAGTCTTTGATTACATAAGATGGAATGTAGACATTATTAGTTTTATCATGTTTTATCAGCATTTTTTATTGCGATCTATTATTTCATTTTTTTTTTCATAATTCCGATTTTCTAATAGTTTTTTATCACTTTTAGGAATACTTTTTAAAGTTTTCTGTAATCATTTTCCTGATAACTATACAATTTCAAACTTGTCAAACTTGTTAACTAGCGGTCCGCTTCTAGTGCTGCAGCAATACTCATATATGCATGTTTTACCATATTAAGATCATTTAAATTTTATCGTTTTCTACAAATTATAGCATGACATTTTTTTATGACTCCCACTCCCCCAAAATTTGAACAATTGTTCTGCTTCTGACTCCTTCATTTTGGATTGGATTACGACCGAATTACGCGTGTTATTTACGAATTATTGTTCATTTGATACTGAGAATGCTGCACAATGATACTTACGCTTGATACTGGATCATGGTCTTTTAGTTATCGATCTATTTTATCTTCTTTTTTGTAGAATTGCTTCCAAACAGCCCAATCAACCTTCGTGTCAATTCTACCGCTTCAAGATATGTTACAATATCCTGGGTAGACCCACAAAACGTTGCAGTGAGCCCCAGCACAGGTCTAAAAAATCCTCTCACCAATTTTAAGTTTATTTTGTGGAAACAAACAATGGTCATTTTTAACTTTATTGAGCAGGCCAATGTTAGTAGACCTTACAGGTTAAATAATCTTATTCCTAACAAGATGTACACAGTTGATGTATACGCTGGAAACTCGGAAGGTTTTGGAGATGCAGCAAATGCTTCTTTTCACACAAATGAAGATGGTAAGATTATTTTGATCTTCTACATTTTTGCTTTCTATTGCCTAAACCTGATTCATGCAAAAAATTGCATGGAGGAGTGGCAATTTTAAAACAAATTAAGAACAAATAATTTATTGTGTTCTGTATTTGTATCGTCAAAATGTGTCCGTTTTTACAGTCTTCAATGGGTAAACAACAGAGAGGCCTTTGCACGAACAATGAATAAAAATACAGACCCATTTATCATCTCATGTGAGCGAAGTTGTATTTATCACATACGCTACACTAAACTATGTTTAAATCATTTTCAAAATCCTCGTTGCGCAGCATATTGCTATGGGCATGTTATTTCTGTATTTTTGATTTACGGTCTCTGGAGAATCATGTTCAGAATTTTCTGGTGGGAAAAATTATACTATGTAATGTGGACTTCAATTCTTTTTTCTTTTTAAATTTTTTGCGAATTACTTTCATCCTGGTATGTAATGGGAATAAAGTCACAAGAAAGTCTCGTATTTTTAAGGAATATAATACATCACCATCCGCTACGATAGTCTTGAAAATTATACTTAAACATAACACTTTTTCACAGGCCCTACCTGATTTTCTCTTTATCTGACTGTAACAAAGCTTACTTTACATTACTCGTACTACAATATTATGATATTTTACTGTTTCCGACAAAGTTACGTCTACATGATTCTTAAAAAAATTAGTTTCTATCAGTTTAAATTTGTCATAGTTTTAATGAAATCAGATATGTTTCTTGAGTTGAAGATCATGGATGCTATGATTTATTGACTCACAGCTTTGTAAAAAGCCATATAGTGCATGTTTTTTTTTGTTTTCAGTTCCCGAAAGTCCTCCATCAAATATATCAATTTCTATGATCAGAAGCTTATCGTTTGTAGTCATGTGGGAGCCACCTGATATAAACAAAAGAAACGGAGAAATAGTCGACTACACTGTTTGTATCACAGACTTAGAGAATTTAAAATGTTTAATCAATTATACTACAAAAGAGCAAAGTTTGAAAATAGACAGTTTAAAACCAATGACAAAATACTACATTCGTGTTTTGGCCAGTACAAAAATTGGTCCTGGAAATTACAGTGAGAGTAAAATGGCAATAACAAATGGATGTACGTTTTTTTAAAAGCCTTCTTTTTCCATGTTCTATTTACATTTCAAGCACGATAATTGAGGGTGGGTTATATTTATGCACGATATACCGTATTAAATTTATTTGAAATTTGAATATGAACCCCAATTATTGATCTTTCTCAGTCCCTGTAATTTATTATAAAGTGTGCGTGAATTGATAAACATAATTGTATTACTGTAGTACCACTGGAAGCACCCTTATGCGCGACGAAAACAACATTGACATTTTCTTTGAAGACTCCTAAACAAAGATATGCGTAAGTAGTTGCATGGAAGTTCTTCTTTGACTGTTTGTATTGAGTTTACGAACAATTCTTAGAATAAAATTGTATATATTATAGGAAATTATAAAAAACTTTCTGTCAGCGTTTATCGTCAGACTAGTTTGGTTCGTCCAAACTTGTTTATATAATGCATTTTTACATCATTTTCATAACCAAGTCTGTGCCACTCCGTGTTTGACAATATAGAGTGTTTGCATTTAGAGCTATGTATGTGCGAACATTAGGTGATGGTGTAATTAAGCACTTTCGAATGTTTATTTCTTATACGCTTTGTTGTAAATTAATCTTTTATGTCTGTTTCAGCCAACTTTATCCGGCGAAAATTTAATTGCTCCTGTTTTCAGGTATTTCTTTGTAATCGCTATGAAAGGAAACGAAAAAAATTCTTCGCCCCCTTTTAAGTATGGCAACCATGATTTAGTAACGTATTCATCTGAATTTGTACAACCAAAACCTTACATAGCTGCTGTGTTTGCTCCCAAATATGACGGTGTGTTCATGTTTACACTTGGTGATGGCTCAAACACAAGTATTGCAGGAACACGAACACGACGGTCTACAGATGGAGTATATTATAATGGTCCTTTAAAAGCTAATTCTACATATCGAATTTTTCTCCGATTCGTGATAAATGAACAGGTACATTCTGAAATCTAGCCTTTTTCAATTATTTTCAAAAGCATAGTAAAGTTTATCTTTTTCATAATTGTATCTATTTAATCAATTTTAGGGTCTTTATTATTCAACTGATTGGAGTTACGCAGCAAAGACTGGTCCTTCAAGATCTGCACATACAACACTACGTTCAACTTCAAGTAGGGCTAACTATGTTTTTATTAAAAATGACGTTGATGGTTGTGGGATCTTCGTAAAGCACTCATTCAGAGTAAAAAACAATCTTTACGTTTCTGATATAACTTTAATCAATGAAGACATTAAATTGTAAACATAAATTGTCTGATTTTAAAGGGACAATTGTAAATTACTTGTACTTGCGTTAGGTTTCCGTTGATGATTTCATAATTTTCATTCATTATTTTAAAAACCTATCGTCAGAAACTTTAAGAAAAACAATAGTCTTTGATGCTTGTTTAGATTCGTTAAAGTCCAACAAAGAAGACGGAAAGTTGTTACCAATTGTCATTGCCCTGGCTATTTGTTTACTATTGTCAATGACCGTTAACATTTATCTGTTGTGTTATCGTCGTAAAAATATATCAAATAAAGATGAAAATCATGATAATAAAAAGCGACCAACAAATGTTTATGATGGTTCTGATATCCATGACAATAATTATGAACATGTTGACGGCGACCAATCCTCATACATGTCGCTGAAAAGCACTGGAAGAAATGAAGACGACCATGTATACTGTCATTTAAATGAAGTTAGGAAGAACGAAAGTATTATGTAATGTATGTTATTTGTATTTATCAATATTTCTTTAGAGTAATTTTCTGAAATTTTCGTTGATATTTTGATTTCTGTAACCATTGTATGTGTTTTTATTTAGAACATTTCAACTCATTACTAGGGTAGTACAAATTTAAACAGGCTAAAAACTAATGGATTTCATTTGAAATAAATTTATGTTGATATCTAGACTACTTATTGTCTACATTGTTTGCTAAGCTCCTGAAATCACTTATTCGAATGTGGGACTTACTTTTTTGCAATGCAGCTCTTTGTTTACTTTTCATTCAGATCAATTAAATTGTCTGATAATTAGAGTACTTGAAACTGAAAACTATCGCAAGCATGTTTTATGATTTCTGCATAATTTCAAAATTATTTTCTACTCCAGTTTTTAGTATTCATCTTGCAACCTATATATGATTCAAATCTTAATAATATTTTACAATTTATGTTTTATTTTATATTTACCCTCAGCGACCTTTTGATGAAGTAGACATACGCCTGTATTTTATAAGCGTTCTCACTCTCATCTTCACTGAGTGTGGTTTCAAAATCACTTCGGCGTATTAATTAGACTGATTGCTTGATTTGAAATATTTCAGCAAAAATCTTGCCATTGATTGAGAAATAACTTTGCGTTGATTAGAAAAAGCGAGAGGTTGAATTAAGTTAGCGTGAGTGTTACTAATGCAGGCTTTTAGAATTCGGGCGAAAGTGAGATGATTTAAAGAATTTCCATTCATTTTTCGATAATGTTTAATGTGAAGTGGGTTTTTGAGTATTACTCATCTCATGAAAGTTTCTGTTAAGGCAGAGGGATAGCTGCAACTCTTTAAGTGGCAAAAGATATAAAAAATTTCTAACAAATAATCTTGTCTGAGGATGAATGGTTTTCGTTTTACATTGCTCCCGCTAATAATTTAGGTCGTGCGATAGACCGGGACTAGGTAAGTAGGTGGCTTATAATAGCAAAATAAATATAGCTGTCTCGTTAAGTATTCCTTAATGTTTGAAAGAATAATACACAAAGAGCTCCAATAAAACTTTTATCATAACATTTATAATTTTAGAGTTCACAAGCTAAATACACATCACAACAATTATCCGAAATATATTTTAGCTACTTTCAAGTAGCTAATATATAGGACGAAGAGAAAGTATACGTGTTTTGTTGCAATTTTTCCACTTTTAAACCGTTTTTTAATTGAAATACAAGCACAAGACATAAAGACAGATAGATTATCAGAAAAATTTTAAGTTAGAGAAATTAAACAGATACGCTAAAGCATAGCAGAAACAGAAAATTGCAGTGTAACAGACATGAGATATCATCATATTTGTGAAGTTTTTAGAATACAAACTACGGCATTAACTTTGTCCATAAAGGCAAGTATTTATAAACCGCTTACACAAACCGAGTTCCCAGCAAGGCGAGTTACTCGGATGTGTCATATAAACGATTCACCGGGAAATGCATTCATTTTATATAAGGGCCGAGTTACCCGGCTCGGCGAGTAACTCGCTCAGCCGGGTAACTCGGCTACATATAAACAGGCCCTTTGAAGGCTTGAGTTTGCAATGTATGTACACTGCATATCTTGAAGTATATGTCTCATGAAAGAAGTATTATTGGAAGAACATGGTCGAAGAAAAATTGGTTTGTCAAACCGACTCACTCTTCTCTATTTGGAAGGGCTACAGGAAAAACAACCGAGTTTTTACTCTGCAAATTTATTTGCAAAATTATCATGTAAATATAACAAATGCATTTATTGCTTTTAAGTGAAATAACCAAAATCTTTATACAACAAGAATGGGTAGTACTAAAATCTTTATACAACAAGTGTTCAAAGGTTTGTGCTATAAAATATAGCAAAATTACAAAAGCGGGTATTATGCATTTGGGAAGGCTTTGAAATACAGTTATTCTCTACATAATCTTAATTGGTTAACATTTAAACAAATGGCGAACAATTGCCATTAGATTAAAGGTTCTTTTCCATACGTTCAACAGGGATTAGTGGGTAGAACTATGGAAATAAAATGATTAAAAGAACACGTTCTTTCCCAAAGTTAGTATTAAAAAAATTTCTTTTATAGCTATCGATAATATCCATATATAGCATCAAATTGCACAGTTTTCAGCTATTCTGTTTTACATAAACATAATTCAATTTTTCGCATCAATGATTTGCTTTGAAAGTGTTTGAAATGTCCAATCTGTTTACTTCCGTGTTATTTGACAAACGTCTATCTTAGCAATAGCTATAATATGATAACTCTAGTTCGAATTCTACGTTGTTAAGCGAGTGGATGATGACAAAAATCAGTCAGTTTTTGTACACGCTATTTGTCGGAGTTGTTTTGCTCCTTTCTTTAAAAGGTAGGTTATTTGAAAGTCAAATGTTTATGTCGTCGCTACACACAATTTATTATTGCTCAGCTGTTTTATGTAACCAGTTGTTGCGTTATCTTATATGTTATCAAAATTTGTCGACAGTAGTTTTCCAGTCTTGTGTGCCATTTGAAAAAATGCCTGTTTTTTAAGTTCTCACTTATTTTTAAAGTTAAACGACATGTTGTATAAACAAAAATATTATAAAAGTGGCCTTTAGTTTGTGTTGATTTTCTCGCGATGGCAGGAAGAATTGTAACAATAAAGCTGTAATAGCGTTAATGTATATTTTAATTTGATACTTGAAGTTGTATAAAGACTAGTTGTCATATGATTTTATTAGCAAAAGATTAACCAGGCATTCGAGGAAGCCGATAATTCTCCTTTTTGCAAATGTTTTGACTTAACTCATCAAATTTTATTCGTCATCTTCAATTTTTATCGACTTAATTTCAGCTTGAAGCGTGTCTGAAATAGAATATTTTGTTTATTTCCTCAAATGCTGATTAATGGTGCTAAATTGCTTTGGCAACTTCATTAGCAAATATGCGGAAGTAGAAAACATGGATTTTATGGGTAGCCACGCGCGCATGCGTGGTGAAATAAACGTAAATGAGAAAGCAAATAAATGTGTATTACGAGTCTTAAATGCGCTAAATAATCTTAAAGTTGTAGTTTCACGTGAAGTAAATCTATTTAAAGTGCGACGCATTGTTTATCAATTGCTTGGTTCACTCTGGTCACTGTTCTATGTGTTTTTGTGTTAAATTAACGACAAAAAGCTATGTCTTCTTTATTTATTTTGATACATAATAACAAATAGTATCTGACATTCTCTATGAGGATTTAGAACATACCAAAATTACAATGAACATTAACTCAAAATACATGTCCAACCGAGTCAAACTATGAGCAGGAAATACAGTTAAATCCGTTCAGTAAATGTTTGCTCTTATCACTTTAAATGTTCTAAGAATTCGCTTTTTAAAAGCTTCAACATTATTTGCAATTAGTAAAGAGTATTTTAATAATGCTATGAAAAAGACAAAAGAGCTCGTCTCTCTGGTCGCAAATTAACGAACATAACAAGTGTCGCATTAATGCAAATAAATACATGTCATATCGTGACAATCATGATTGTTGATTTATCGGTTGAGGGGAACGATGTATCACATATCATAGACACATATCATAGACGCACAAGAAAATTATTTTTGTAAAACAAACTTTTAAAGATTTACTATTTACATTAAAAGCATGGTTTTCAGTAACAATTTTAACCGATATATTAAGAATTTCGTTTGAAGTCACATTTATTGCAACTTTACGATGTAAGCACATGAGCTAAGTCGCGTGCAATGAATATATGCATGAACGTTCTACATATGGGTTTTGGGAAAAGTGACACTCAATATTTTTGTAGAAATAAGAGAAAAGTTGGTCCAATAACTAAAAGAGGTCAAAAATATCGGTTCCGTTCAGATTTTGGCCTTTTCCCATGAAATATAGGCTCAAAAATGTTGGTTCCAAGTCTTAGAACTTGGAACACGTCTCAATTTTTTAATTTGTGCGCCCCTGATTACAGAGTAAGCTCAACTGAGATTTTTGCGATCTCAGACATTATATGAACTCTTATGTTTATTGTATATAGTGAACTACGCTCTTGATCCATTGATGTCTTGATCTATTTCATTTTTGTGGGGGCTACCCATATGTACGCTCTGCGTACCTATTTTTTACCAATGATGTAGAAGTAAAGATTCTCATCTTGTCTTTTACTTGACTTTATAAAAATATTTAGAACATATTTAAGCCTATTTCACTTGATGGTTATAATAATTTGTAGATGCTAATTAAGTATAAAACATCACATACCTGTAATTGCTGTTTTGTATGAAGTGCGTATATTTAATCATTGAGTCGTAAGGTGCCAAAAAATATGAATATTTCAGAAAACGTATTTATCATTTAAAGAAAAAGTCAAGTTTGGTGAGAAAAATCCAAAAACTCCTACAAATGCGTACCAAATTATAAGAATTATTGAATGTTGACACAAATCAGTCAGTTTTATTACTTGCTAATAATCGCAGTTATTTTATGGTCCGTTTTAGTGACAAAAAGTAGGAATTGTTAAATGCCCAAGCCGTGAAATTATCTTTGCTCAGCTATATCATGTTATCTATTGTAATTTGTCGTTACATTTTAGCAATATTAACTTACTTAATTACTGACGACATTTTTTATTTGTATAGTCTTATTTCGACTTCATTTTTTATATTATCCTTCATTTCTCATTAACACAGAAGCCCGATAACTAAAATATTTAATTAATATAACATAATCTGCTTTTGGATTTATTCGTTGTCAAATATACGGAAGTAGCCTAAAAAAATGATTTTGACAAAAATGAGAATGTAACGTTACGAACATCTTAAGGAGGCTCCATACACTTTATCCGAGATTTGGGTGTTTCAGATAGCCTTCACTTACAACAGTATTTTTATCAAACTCACTCAATCTTGGAAATATGAACTACGCAGGAATATTCAAGAATGCCAGTAAAGTCTAAAGATGCTTGAATAGGATAACTATTTGCGTTGTTATGGCAACCATGTCTCTTTTCTTCATTTTCTTTTACACTTGTACAGACCATATCTTTTTTTCGGTTCTGTGAATTTTTCTGATTTTTTTGCATGACGATTGTTATTCATTCATTAAGCATTTTGTTTAATGCAGAAGGAATTCTTTGAATAATTGAAAACTTCACCTATATGAAAATAAATTTGTAGATTTTGTTCTATTTTGCGTATGTTATTTTTTTTGTAATAAACATCCACACGAACTTTTAAAAAAACTTACGAAAGAAAAACGAAAAAATCTTAAATAAAGTCGGCGCAGCCAGGCGTTTGTGGAAAAAAATTCACTCGATTTCAATATTTACTTGCATCGAACAAACCCGTTTTCATATAATGTATGATTGTTGAATTTTTTGTTAAAAAATCTAAAGACGTAACAGGGAGGTTACAAAGGGGTTGTTACAAATGATTGTTACAAAGGGGTGGGGTTGTTACAGGGATTGTTACAAGGAGTTGTTATTGGGATGGTTACTAAGGAATGGGGTTGTTATTAACATTTGATTCGAAAAGAAAACTTACACATATGTCGTGCAACGTGCATGACAAATTGTGGAATGTTGCTAGTAGCCTTTAACCAGTCTGCATGTTTTTGATCCTGTTATGTTAATTTCATATCATTATTATTGTCTATTTCTCCAACCTAATTGCTTTTGCAGTTAGTAAACACAGGGAAATTTATTCAAAATCGGCCTCGAAAGTTAATCAAGATCGGCTGTTTTGCACTATCAGGTAATGTAGAGTGGTTAATTTGACCTTCACACGGAATAATCTGATCATCATCGAGAAACAAACCAAGTTGTTGACTCGTAAATTTTTACGACCGGCTCGAAGATTCTGATTGTAACTCGTCAGAAAACACGGCTGACTGAATTCTTCGGATCCATAATCTCTGAGCTTTGAGTAGCTAATTAGCATTCAACTCAGACGTAACAGAGCATAGTTGCTTTCTTCATTTCTTGATAAACCTTAAAATTTGTGCTGTGACACGAAGTAGTTTGTTCTTCGTACCATATCTGTCTTGGTCAATAATCTTCTCCAAGTGGATGTAATTACGGTCAGGAAGCGATGTTAACGTGAAGGAATGTGTTATTAGAAGAGGATTTTGTATTATCTCTGTGTAGCAACGGTCCTCATCCAATTTTGTAAGTTGAAGATCTTCGGGCAATTTGTTATCAGTATCTTATAGTTCACTTCCGGAACACCCACGAGAAGGCAAGTCGGAAGAGTTTATTACCCCAGGCAGTGTCTCCATTTATAACTACTAGTTAACTTTCTGATTTCGTTTACGCGGTTCTGTACATACGACTTCCACAGTTTATGATTTCGAATCCAACATAATGTTGTAAATGAATCCTTCCATCGGATAATATCAGTGATATATTTTATTGAAGTAAACGCTTTCTCAATCGAATCGACTTATCTTGCTAATTTAGTTGTGCCTAACAATTCAGGTTGTGGTAAGGTCTGTCGTTTGATAGGAGCGACTCTTGTCTTGGCTGCTATTAAACTCATTTCAATTTCACCGTTTTTATGTTCCGTTCGTAGATATACAACTGCGGCAAAGGCAAATTCTGATGCATCGCAAAATCCATGTATCTGATGAATTGGAGATGAATCTTATCCACCATGGAAGTAACAACGCGGTACTCGTATGTCACTTAAAGCCCTTAAGTTGTGAACGAGAGAATTCCAACTTGATAAGACCTTGCCAAACAGATCTTCATCCCAATTACTGCCAGAAGAGCAGAGGGTTTGAAACAACATCTTCATAGTGATAGTAAAGGGTTTAAGAAGGCAAATAGGATCGAATATCTTCGCAGATAGCCTTAAAATTGACCTCTTAGTTGCAGGAAGTAACTTGTCTTCCACCATCGTACTTGGTATATGTTTAAAATATGATGACCCCTTTCATTTCCCACCTTAACAAACGGTCGATCTTCATCATTCGCCATAACAATTCGGACATGTTGCGACTTTGAATGCCATTTTCGAAGCTTGAATCCTCCCTCGCTCATTAATTTTCGAGATCTATGATGGATGTATAGAGCTTCGTTCTCATTAGGAGCTCCACCAGCAAAATCGTTAACATATAATGACTCGATTAATAAAGAGACTATTTCTTGATCGACATTCTTGTATTTTGAAATGTGATGAGGAATAACAGTAGATAATATTACAGGACTTGGGGTTAGACCAAATAGTAGGCGTCCGAACTTGTATTCCTTTAGCATCGAGTGAACTTTGTCAATATCGTCAAACCAAAGAAACTTCAGCATCTTTCTGTCTTTGTGAGCAATTTGTATTTGATGAAAAGCCTTTTCGATATCGGAAACAAGCCCAATGGAGAAGTCTCGAAAGTTTATCATAGTGTCAAATAAACGTGAACCAAATTTGTTCCCTTTTCGAGGCAGTCATTGAGTGACAGCTCCTCTTCAGTAGCTCTTGCCGAACCATCGAAAACCACGCGAAGTTTTGTAGTTTCGTTATCTTCTCGAAGTACGCCATGATGGGGTAGGAAATAACCGGTTTCATGTGCAACAGGAACTGGGTCAATAATTCCTCTTTTCACTTGATCTTTGATAATTGTATCGTATTCTTGCAATAAGGGCTTATCTTTATCGAGACGAGATTTCAACTGGTTTTAAAAACATACCCTAACAGTCTCATTTTGGAATACATTCCCCCTTCCAAGGTAAATTCACTTCATATCTCCCTTCATCCTCCAGATATTGTATATTCTTCCGAAACTCCTGATCCTGTGATTCGCTGGATTCTTTCATTCCAATTGATTCGATCTCCCAAAACCGTTTCAAGCATTCATTTAATTTGGGTTCTCTCTTGTCAAACGGAACTTCTTTTGAAAAACAGTAACCTTCGAGGATTAAATTAACGTTTGACAATTTTGAGTTAGTTTCACTATCATTCGTCTGCCCAGTGATAATCCAGCCAGCCATAATTCACTATTAATCGCAACAGGACCACATTCACTTCTTATAATCTCGCCTGTCGGGATATCGAAATAATTATCTGCTCCAATTAGAATGTCGATGTTGCTGTCTGTCTGTCGTCCAGAGAGGATATTGGTATCGGAAAGCTGCAACTCCATCAGATGAGGATAATAATCGAGATCAACTGTCGTATTTAATGGAAAGCAAATGTTTATGAAGCAAAAAGCTGTTATGATTCTAATTCCATTCTTTCCTTTCAGGGACAAATGAGCCAAGTCGCATTTTTGTTTTGTAAAATGTTGGTTGCCAAAGGTATTAAAGTTAACAACTTCTCTTCTGATATGAACTAGTCCAAGCCGTTTTTTTAATGAATTCGTAACGTAAGTGCGCTGACTACCACTGTCCAAAAGCACGCGAACAGGTATCGAAATGGAAGCATTCCCGCCATTTATAGATATGTTTAACTGAAATATCTTGAGTCAAAAAAGCGTTCACCGTAGGTATTCTGGGTGCTTGGTGCTGAACTCCTGAATTTTTGCCATGCTGTGGCTGTGGACTTGATTGCACTCCTTCACTTATCTCCCGTGCCTCGATCTCAGTTTTTATTGTATCCAACAACTCATCAATTTTCCAAACGTCTCCCGATGATTTTCAGGCAATTTGTAGACGAATGTCACTCTGTAATTTTGTCATGACAATCGGGATAAGCATACTACCATATTTGCTCAGACTCGATAATCCTCGTACATGAACGCTTACTTTAGCGTATATGTATCTTACTTGGCTAGTTCTACCGTTGGCACAAGCTTCAATGTCTAAAATTTCATGCATATGAGCTGCTATGGTTTGCTGGGTTTTCCCGAAGCGATCGTTCAAGATTTTTACAGCAGAGTCGTAATTGGCATTAGTTAATGTCAGACCCTTAATGGCCCTCACTTCGTTTCCCTCGAGAAGCGATTACAGATAGTTAAATTTGTTTACCTTCGAAATGTTGGGATTACTGTGAATCGCAGAATCATACAGATCACAAAACGAACTCCACTCCGTAACCTTGCCATCATATTTCAGAAGCTCCAGGAAGCCTCGGCATGTTTGGCTTAAAATGAAATGTCGTCGTATTGTTATCATGTGGTGGCTGTGATATCAATTCAACTGACTCTTTCTCGAGTTTTGTACACATTCCACGTTGTCCTCTTCTTATAGCACGAAGCCTTTCCAGTTTTTCCTTCTCTTCAGTCGACATTTTCGTAAGAAACGAATTATGGGCGACTTTATTTCGTTAAAGCCGCCCCACGTTGGGCGCAATGTCATACACGTTGCACGATTTTTCGTAAGTTTTATTTACGAATCAAATGTTAATAACAACCCCACCCCTTTGTAACATTCCCAAAAGTGTCAATCACGTGAAATGCACGCGATCCACAATAAAACAAAAAACAAATTCACTACAAGGCTGCTTTAATTGTTTATCTAATGTAACTGACTTACAAAAACTTTGTTTTTCAAACCAAAAGGAATATACGTTGCTTCAACAAGTCACATTTATCAAAAGAATAATTGAGAATTAATTCCACCCCTAGCATTATATGAACACTTTTGATCAATTATGAACTCATAAACATTTCACTGAGTCGTATTAAATGTGTTCAGTATCAATAACTAATTTTAAAGAACTATTATTTTCGATATTTTGTCAAATATCAAGTTTCCAACAATTTTTAACATGTTAAATGTCATTTTTTCAGAAACAAATGGATTTTTTATTAAACATGTTCAATCAGGAAAGTGTATTTATGATACTGGGGTAGAGTATTCAAGATATCCTAGTATCAACCCAATTCACCTTACTTATTATCTGAACCTAACTAAGAACTGTTTTGACTCAACAACTCAGTTTAAATTTCATCAATCTGGCTCCATATTAAAACCGAATAGAAGAGGTTGCCTTGTGGGAGACAGAATCTTACAAGATTTGTTTTTGATATACGAAAAGAAAGGTGACATTGCTGCTGCATGCAATGACGCCAACGCTTTAACCCAAACTTTTCAAGGTGGAATATTTACTTCCGACTTTGATAAATGTGCAGTACCTCCAGGATATATTAAACGTCATGTCTACATGGGAATAGCTAACTGTAATAATGAAGAAGATCAGCGATTTCATTTTGGTAAGTAAGAATTTTTATCCAATGAATGCAAAAAATTAAACTCTTATTGAAAACCACCACCAATCCTAATCTATTTACGGATGGCGTCGACATGCTAGGTCACCGTCATCTGGAACTTTATCTTCATCAGATTCAAATTTGCATTTACAGGATTTTACAGACAAGCGCGTACTGACTGGATTTTCATGTTTTTTACTATAGGTGCAGTGACATGTGCTGGACAAAAGATAGCGGACGCTAGTTGCTCGAATAATCAATATATGGTGATAAAAGTTGCAGAATATCGTGGATTGAGAAACGGAAGCTCTTGTGGTTTAAGTTATGATTACAGTTGTAGTGTCGATGTAACATGTGACCTTAAAAATTACTGTGATGGGGAAAGAAAATGTGATGTATCTGTTGATGATTATCATTTCTCTTCAAGTATTTGCCCTGGTTTGGACAAGTATCTTTACTTTGAATATCAATGTAACGACACAAGTACGCCACACAGAGAAATTTGTAACTGTAAGTATATTATATATGGGCAGATTTTATTTGGCTCGCGATTCACGTGTTTTGGAAAAAAATTGACCTTAATATAGCATTAATTTCATGGTTAATATTGTTTATATCATCACACATAAAAAAAGAAACTTTGGGAATTTCTGTTTGGTGTATTTACAAGGAGTAATGTATTATTTAAGCTTGAAACATAATACGATACTCAGGACAATTTTAAGTGTTAGGTCATTCTTCTATTAAATATTAGAGTTCTTGCAATGGAAATTTTCATTAATTTTTATATGTCCTCGCCATGAGTCATCAAATGATAAAATGTTGATTCATGCAGTTATCTCTTCTTGAAGTGTCTTTGTATTTCTTTTTTAAAAATAATTATGCCATTTTAGGTTTACTAAGCAATTGAATTTACAATTTGATTTGCATTTATGTCGTCATGAATCCATACAAGAAAATGTTTGTATACTTATATATACAATTGTATCATTATGTGACGGCGCAAAACGCAATTTTCGCCTATAAGATAAAGTTGTTCATGTTTTCATTGTATGATTATTAATAATAGGACACGTTTATCTAGATTTGTGTAAGACGCTATGCAGTAGAACTAAACGATATTATTGATCAATATGAACTTCCTCATATTTTATTTCATCCTCTTGAGTAAGACTGTAGACATGTTAGTAATATCAATAATTCACGTGACAGGTCTCAGTAGTCTAAAGAGCAACACACACACTTCCATGCATCTTAAAAAATTTATTCTGGTTTTTATTTCTCCAATTCTAAATTTTTAGATCTCCGTGTACATATTTTATTTATGGGAAGGATTTGCAATACTTATGTTAAAAAAACAGAGATACATAACTCTGCTTTATGAAACTTTATGTTCAGTCCAACTTAAAATTATTTTTATTTATGTAGTTGAGAATGTACATCTGTCTCAGTCAATTTTGCCAAACAAAGGTGTCGTGGATGTTATTACAAAGTTTAGAAACTTCACCATCTGCAACAATGGTCTTTTGGCTGAAGTAAAAACCACTGTCTGTAATCGATTTGGTTATCCTAGTGCACTGAATATAGAAAGCTGGACGTCAATACTAACATCAGTTAATCATTTTTTTACACCTGGAAATGTTGCATGTGGTGCTCAAGTGAATGATTTATCCCAATGTTCAATAACTCAAAACAATAGTTGTTCTCAATACTTGTATGTGACATGTAAGCATTCTCATTACTTCTAAATAGCATAATATTATGTTGTAGAACACCATCTACAGCGTTAGCAAAAGTTGGCCCTAAAGCAGGGGTCTCCAAACTTTACAGCCAGAGGGCCACATGAACTTTCATCCAGCATGTTGAGAGCCGACGAACCGTATACCGCTGGTCAAAGAGCGAAAATTTTAATAAAACGAAGTACATGATACACATGATAGACATACAAATAGACATGTTTTGACATCTCATGATGCCATCTTCAGTATAAGTGAAATAATAAATGATACAATGTTTATATAAAAGTAATATGATACATAAATTAAAACAATAAAAAGGAAATAAGATTCATTGGCGAAACTTCGCGCCATTTATCCATCAGAATTAGGGAACATACCACAACAGACAAAAACTCTCATATCTACCGACACCTTCTTAAATCTCACTTAGGTAAAACCAACTATTCACCCTCTTGCTTCAAAATCATCGACACTGCCGACACCTCATTCTCCCTTAAAATCAAAGAAGCATTCCACGTTAACAAAACTAACCCTGACCTCAATGTTCAAGTTTTTAAATTCAATGCAATATTTAGTTCATAATACGCTCGGACGCTCCCCATTAATTTTATCTTATTTCCTTTTTATTGTTGTAATATCTGTATCCTATTACTTTTATATAAACCTTGTATCATTTATTATTTCACTCATACTGAAGATGGCATCATGAGATGTCGAAACATGTCCATTTTAAAAAACTCGTCACGTATAGTAAATGCGCAAAACGAAGCACATTACACAAGCTTGATTAGTTCAGAAAATATTTATTCAAAATTTAAAGGTTCAATTTCAACCAAGAGTAATATCATAACAAAATCACAATTAGTCTGTTCAGTTTTCTCAATGTTAGTGGTGAAATTGGCTTCTTAAGTGTCTCTGCGGGCCGGATTGAGAGTCCCTAACGGGCCGCATCTGGCCCGCTGGCCGTAGTTTGGCGACCCCTGCGGCCTAAAGAATCATGTTGTCTAAACTTACTATCACCATGACTTATCTCTATCATCATAACTTATTTCTATCAACATGGTTAATCTCTATCGTCATGACTCACCTCCATCATCATGACTTACCTCTATCATCATGACGTACCTCCATCATCACGACTTACTTCTATCATCATGACTTATCTCTATCATCATGACTTACCACTATCATTATGAATTACCTTTATCATCATGACTTATCTCTATCATCATGACTTACTCCTATCATCATGAATCCCCTTTATCATCACGATTTAACTCTATCATCATGGGTTACGTCTATCATTATCATTTTCCTCTATCATCATGACTTACCTCAATCGTCATGACTTACATGTATCATAGTCTAGGATCTGTATAAGAGTTTGTGTGCATTTCATTTAACGGAAATTATCTCAACTGTTTTTGGGTAAAATGACTATGACAAACAACATGGCATATGTGACATTTGCTCAATCTGGGATGAAATTCCTAAAATTAAGACCCCCCTGAAAGGCAAAGTCGACATAGCTCTAACTTTCCGAAAAATATAGTAATAACAAATCTGCAATGTTTATGGTGTTTAGAAGGTTCACTGTTAGGGGTGTTCACGGGAGGGAAATTCCAGATTGAGCATATGGCACATATGCCATGTTGTTTGTCATGGTCATTTTACCGAGAGCGGTTGAGATAACTTCCGTTAAATGAAATGAATACAAACTCTTATACAGGTCAAGACTGTATCGCAGTATAGAAATGTACGGTAGGGTCACTTCGCTGTGCAACTAGCTGATGTATAATTAATTACTTTACTGGCTGCCGTTTACCATATCATCAATCCTATTGGTCATCCAATTGCCAATTGGTCATTGGCAATTTATTGGCTGCCAATATGGTAATCACTTGCGTAATAAGATATGTGTGGAAAGAAAAATTTCAATAGAGTGGCCCTACTGTATGTTCTCTACTGTGACTTTATCATCCAATTTTTTGTGCTTTTCATCACCATATACTCATTTCTCTTTTTAGGTCATATATGTAAAAGGCCTTTATTAAACAACAAACATAGTTTTCCAAACACCTCCTTTTCTGCCTTGTCCTCAACTATTAACCATTCTGCCAAAGAGGCAAGAATTTCCAGCGGTAGTTCTTGGTGTGCTCCTGCTGCAAATGGCACTCATTATCTTGAACTGAAATTTCAAAAACTTTATGCAATCAACACTATCGTCATCTTTGGTGATAGTGTAAGCCCATGTTGGGTATCTAGCTTTTACCTAAACGCTACATCTGATTTAATAAACTGGGAATCAGTTTTTCACCAAAATTCACAAAAGGTAAATAAAAAACTATGTTTGAAAATTGAATTCTCAAAGCTATAAACAAGTGTATTTTAATATGTTAGTGTACCCTTGAATCACCGTGCTTTGTCTTATCTTAGGTTTTTCCAGGCAACAAAAATGCTTACAGTGACGCTGCTATCTCAAACATCACAGGTGGTATTAGAACGAGAGCTTTACGGATTATTCCTTTGAGTTACACTGGTCAACCATGTTTACGAACTGAAGTTTGTGGTGGAGGTAAATATGAATTTAAAAAATATATTGAACAAATTGTTGACTTTATTGAGTTGTTTGTTGTAGTGTTTTGAAAATTATAACGCAAGCGAACAAGAATCACATAATAATCGTTTCAACACGAGAAGTAGTAAGAATTTAATATATCTTGCTTGTAGTGTAAGGTGAAACAATTGATGACACACAAGTGTTGTTAAGTGTTGTTGTGCTTTCCTTTAGATGTTAGGAATAAGCTTTTAAAGTCGTTCGTTTGATTGGGAGCTTATTACAAAAATTTTAACGCACTTTTAAACTTATACTTGAACACAACGTGTGTAATATACGTTTATCTTAGTTTACATTTGGTTTAAATCAAAGAATGAGGTCAAAGCTTTGTGAACCATTCTATGTTTTTTAATTAATCTGTGCATTGTGTTTACAAAATGTTGAAATTTCTTACAATGAAAGATATTTTCAAAAGACTAGGAAAGTGTACTAAACATGCTTATTTCTGCTCAAATTAACTTAAGCTCCAATTATCCTATTTCCACCTTAATTTTCGTCAACTGTCTTGGTAGAGGTCGTCTATTATCGAGTTAAGCCCCAACCACGCCCATGACACCCTCTTTTTTTGCAGAGGTCTGAACTGAAGTACTAAATACAACTTAGGTTATCCAAGTTAGGTCACGGGGCTTAGTTTTTGACCTAGTTTTTGAAGTATGTGAATTGGTAAAGTACGAACAAATGCTTGAAAATCGTCAAAATATATGTATAAACGATCCAGCTAAAAACGATCCATAATATTGCTTGGTGTGCAGCCTGTATAAAGGTTCTTAACCAGACTATACGTAAAATCGTATTCAAAACTAAAGGAACGACAAACAGCACATGATGTAACGGATTAGTTGCAGTACGATCAATACAATGCGTAGAGCATTTTTACGATCTGCTGTTTTTTTAGATTTTTCTTGTACATAATTTCTGTAACTTTTTACGATTATTTTCGAAAGTTTCCTGTACTCCTTTTTCTTCTTATAACTTTAAAATTTTATAAAACATACTAAACTTGCGAGAATAACCACCTCAACTTATAATAACCGTTTTTGGTGGCTTTGCATAAACTCCATAACACGCGTATAATTATATATGCATGGTGTATTAGCAAGCTCTCTTGCAATTTATTGCTTTTTACAGATCATAATATGCACAAATTAACATTTGAATATAAGCCTCCCTTTTAATTATCTAGCTTGGGCCAATAAAGATTCTTATTTTGGTACTATTAGTGTTTTACAATCACATAACGCATTAAGTTGCGCTTGATTATGATGCTTTAGGTATTTGAAAGTAATCTTTCTTCTTTTTCGTAGAATTGCATCCAAACAGCCCGACCAATCTCCATGTCAATTCAACCGCTTCAAGATACGTTACAATATCCTGGGTAGACCCACAAAACGTTGCAGTATCTCCCAGTACAGGCCTCAAAAATCCTCTGACCAAATTTAAGTTTATTTTGAGGAAAAAAACAATGGCGATCTTTAACTTTGTTGAGCAAGCCAATGTTAGTAGACCTTACAAATTGAGCAATCTTATTCCTAACACAATGTACACAGTTGAAGTATTCGCTGGAAACTCGGAAGGTTTTGGAGATCCAGCAAATGCTTCTTTTCACACAAATGAAGATGGTAAGATTTAGTGCTGTAGGACTATTTTTATCAGTTGGGGGTCTTCCTTGTCAATAGTGCCCTTTTAAAACTACCCATTTCAAAAGTAGAAGGGGGCTCCTCCCCCAAGCTCCCCTACTTCTACAGCACTGGTAAGATTACGTATTCTTTATGATGCATTTGGTGATTTACTATTCAATTTTGCTTTATACAGGCGACATGATATAGTTCATGTTGTTCACGTGCTGAATGGTGCCGCAATTAAAAATTAATGAATTACTGTCCTTGTTTTCTAATAGTACAAAAATTTTTAGAACATGTCAATGTATACCTGAGTACATATATATTTTAAAAAGTTATACTTCATGAATGCTGCTTTGACTAACGGGAACGAACAAAAATCACCCCAATTTTCTTTTTCCTATTGATAAATCGCGCAAGGAACCTTGCATTTCCGATGTGACAGTAAACTGGAATTTTGTTTACGTCAACAAAGAAAAAAGTCAAGACCATTATTCTACTTTTTTCTATTTCTTCTGCCCTGTTTTTTGTACGATATGCAATACCTTGTAGAACTCAATTATAGCTTACAAATTTTGTAGAACTTAGCTAATTATAGCTTTATTTTATTGTAGTTCCTGATGGTCCTCCTTTAAATGTAACAGTCGCTGTTGTTAATAGTTCATCGTTATCAATCACGTGGAAGCCACCTGATATAAGCAAGAGAAATGGGAAAATTATCAATTACACAATTTGTATTACACGATGGAAGAATGGGACGTGTTCAAGAAACTTTACTACGACAAACCAAAGTTTTATTGTAAATGACTTGAAACCAGCAACAACGTACTACATCAGTGTTTTGGCCAGTACTATAATTGGTCGAGGAAATTACAGTGAAAATGAAATTGCAATAACAAATGAATGTAAGTTTTTTATTAAAACATTTTTCTTTTGCATTTTTCACTTAAATTTATCATTGATGGTTACGCCAATTGATGTATGTACTTGTTATAATTTAGTGCAGCCAGAAAAGCTTACAAATTTTACGGAAGAAACGTTGACGTTTTCTTTAAAGATTCCTGTTGAAGAATATGAGTGAGTTTGTATAAGTCAGTATGCGATGAGCTCTAATAAAGAAATAATTAAAATGATTGTTATTTGTTAATGGGAATTCTACAAAGCAACGAGTAATTCATCAGTCGTGAATCCACTTTAATTCATTTTTCCCTTTTACAGATTCTTCTATATTATTGCGATGGAAGGAGATGAAAAAAATCCCCCTCCACCTTCTAACTTCAGCAATGAAGACTTAATAAGGTATTCCACACTCTCACAACCAAAGCTTTACATTGCTGCCGTGCTTAAAGTCAGCGGTGTTGACATGTTCGTGTTTATACTTGGTGATGGCTTAAATTCAAGTATTTCAAAACCGCGAACACGACGATCTACAGATAGAGATTATAATAATCGTCCTTTAAGCCCCGATACTACTTATCGAGTTTTCCAGCGAGTTATTGTGAATGATATGGTAATTGTCAAAATTTTGAATGTTGTCTAGTTATATGTAATGATGAGTCACTTTTCCCCTCAAAATTTAATCCGCTTTTTAGGGTGTTTAGTATTCAACTGATTGGAGTTACGCCGCAAGGACTAGGCCTTCAAGATCTGCATACACAACACTACGTCCTTCAAGATCTGCATATACAACACCACGTCCTTCAAGATCTGCACATGCAACACTATGTCCTTCAAGATCTGCACATACAACACTATGTTCAACTTCTAGTAGGGCTAACTATGTTTTCATTAAAAATGACGTTGATGGTTGTGGGATCTACGTAAAGCACTCATTGAGAGTTAAAAAACAATCTTTACGTCTCTGATATAACTTTAATTAATGAAGACATTAAATTGTAAACATAAATTGTCTGATTCTAAAGGGACAATTGTAAAATACTTGTTCTTGCTTTAGGTTTTCGTTGATGATTTCATAATTTTCATTCATTATTTTAAAAACCTATCGTCAGAAACTTTAAGAAAAACAATAGTCTTTGATGCTTGTTTAGATTCGTTAAAGTCCAACAAAGAAGACGGAAAGTTGTTACCGATTGTCATTGCCCTGGCTATTTGTTTACTATTGTCACTGACCGTTAACATTTATCAGTTATGTTATCGTCGTAAAAATATATCAAATAAAGATGAAAATCATGATAATAAAAAGAGACCAACAAATGTTTATGATGGTTCTGATATCCATGACAATAATTATGAACATGTTGACGGCGACCAATCCTCATACATGTCGCTGAAAAGCACTGGAAGAAATGAAGACGACCATGTATACTGTCATTTAAATGAAGTTAGCAAGAACGAAAGCATTATGTAATGTATGTTGTTCGCATTTATCGATATTTCTTTAGAGTAATTTTCTGTAATTTTCATTGATATTTTGATTTCTGTAACCATTGTATGTGTTTTTATTTAGAACATTTCAACTCATTACTAGGTAGTACAAATTTAAACAGGCTAAAAACTAATTGATTTCATTTGAAATACATTTGTGTTGATATCTAGACTACTTATTGTCTACATTGTTTGCTAAGCTCCTGAAATCACCCATTCGAATGTGGGAGTTACTTTTTTGCAATGCTGCGCTTTGTTTACTTTCCATTCAGATCAATTAAATTTTCTGATAATTAGACTACTTGAAACTGAAAACTATTGCAAACATGTTTTATGATTTCTGCATAATTTTAGTATCATTTTTTACTCGAGTTTTTAGTATTGATCTTGCATACCTATATAGGATTCAAATCTTAATGTTATTTTACAATTTATGTTTTATTTTATACTTACACCTCAGCGACCTTTTGCTGACTTAGACATACGCTTGTATTTTATAAGCGCTCTCACTCTCATCTTCACTAAGTCTGGTTACAAAATCACCTCGGCGTATTAATTAGACTGATTGTTTGATTCTACATATTTCAGCAAAAATCTTGCCATTGATTGAGAAATGACTTTGCGTTGATTAGATAAAGCGAGAGGTTGAATTAAGTTAACGTGAGTGTTACTAACACAGGCTTTTAGAATTCGGGCGAAAGTGAGATGATTTAAGGAATTTCCATTCTTTTTTCGATAATGTTTAATGTGAAGTGGGTTTTTGAGTATTACTTATCTCATGAAAAATTTTTTCAAGGCAGATGGATAGCTGCAACGCTTTAAGTGCCAAAAGATCTAAAAAATTTCTAACTAATAATCTTGTCTGAGGGTGAATGGTTTTCGTTTTACATTGCTGTCGCTAATAATTTAGGTCGTGCAATAGACCGGGACTAGGTAAGTAGGTGGCTTATAATAGCAAAATAAATATAGCTGTCTCGTTAAGTATTCCTTAATGTTTGAAAGAATAATACACAAAGAGCTCCAATAAAACTTTTATCATAACATTTATAATTTTAGAGTTCACAAGCTAAATACACATCACAACAATTATCTGAAATATATTTTAGCTACTTTCAAGTAGCTAATATATATGATGAAGAGAAAGTATACGTGTTTTGTTGCAATTTTTCCACTTTTAAACAGTCTTTTGGTTGAAATACAAGCACAAGACATAAAGACAGATAGATTATCTGAAAAATTTTAAGTTAGAGAAATTAAACAGATACGCTAAAGCATAGCAGAAACAGAAAAGTGCAGTGTAACAGACATGAGATATCATCGTATTTGAGATCTTTTTAGAATACAAACTACGGCATTAACTTTCTCCATAAAGGCAAGTATTTATATGGAAATGCGGCAAGTGCGTTTATATGGAAAAATTCATCCCGCCTAGCCGGGTAACTCGCTTACACAAACCGAGTTCCCGGCAAGACGAGTTACTCGGATGTGTCATATATACGATTCACCGGGAAATGCATTCATGTTATATAAGGGCCGAGTTACCCGGCTCGGCGAGTAACTTGCTCAGCCGGGTAACTCGGCTTCATATAAACAGGCCCTTTGAAGGCTTAAGTTTGCAATGTATGTACACTGCATATCTTAAAGTATATGTCTCATGAAAGAAGTATTATTGGAAGAACATTATGGTCAAAGAAAAATTGGTTTGTCAAACCGACTCACTCTTCTCTATTTGGAAGGGCTACAGGAAAAGCAACCGAGTTTTACTCTGCAAATTTATTTGCAAAATTATCATGTAAATATAACAAATGCGTTTATTGCTTTTAAGTGAAATAACCAAAATCTATATACAACAAGAATGGGTAGTACTAAAATCTTTATACAACAAGTGTTCAAAGGTTTGTGCTATAAAACATAGCAAAATTACAAAAGCAGGTATTATGCATTTGGGAAAGTTTTGAAATACAGTTATTTTCTACATAATCTTAATTGGTTAACATTTAAACAAATGGCGAAGAATTGCCATTAGATTAAAGGTTCTTTTCTATTCGTTCAACAGGGATTAGTGGGTGGAACTATAGAAATAAAATGATTAAAAGAACGCGTTCTTTCCCAAAGTTAGTATTGAAAAAATTTGTCTTCTAGCTATCGATACTATCCATATATAGCATCGAATTGCACAGTTTTCAGCTTTTCTGTTTTACATAAACATAATTCAATTTTTCGCATCAATGATCTGCTTTAAAAGTATTTGAAATATCCAATATGTTTACTTCCGTGGTATTTGACAAACGTCTATCTTAGCAATAGCTGTAATATGATAACTCTAGTTCGAATTCTACGTTTTTAAGCGGGTGGATGATGACAAAATCAGTAAGTTTTGTACACGCTATTTGTCGGAGTTGTTTTGCTCCTTTCTATAAAAGGTAGGTTATTTGAAAGTTAAATGTTTATGTCGTCGCTACACACAATTTATCATTGCTCAGCTATTTTATGTAACCAGTTGTTGTTTTATCTTATATGTTATGAAAATTTGTCGACAGTAGTTTTGCAGTCTTGTGTGTCATTTGAAAAATGCCAGTTTTTAAGTTCCACTTATTTTAAAGTTAAACGACATGATGTATAAATAAAATATTATAAAAGTGGCCTTTAGTTTGTGTTGATTTTCTCACAATGGCAGGAAGAATTGTAACAATAAAGCTGTAATAGCGTAAATGTATTTTTTAATTTGATACTTGAAGTTCTATAAAGACTGGTTGTCATATGATTTTATCAGCAAAAGATTAACCAGGCATTCGAGGAAGCCGATAAATCTCCTTTTTGCAAATGTTTAGACTTGACTCATCAAATTTTATTCGTCATCTTCAATTTTTATCGACTTAATTTCAGTTTGAAGCGTGTCTGAAATAGAATATTTTGTTTATTTCCTCAAATGCTGATTAATGGTGCTAAAATGCTTGGGCAAATTCATTAGCAAATATGCGGAAGTAGAAAACATGGTTTTTATGGGTAGCAACGCGCGCATGCGTGGCTAACCACTATGTTATACTGCAAAAAGTAGAACGGCCGATGGAACGAATGATTTCAAAATCATTGACCTGTATGACTGAGCTGGATGTGGCATAAACTATATAATTTTCTAAATTTGTTTCGTTTACGCTAGAATAGTGCAGTAATGTCCCTTGTTTATACTGACAATGGTGAAACCCAAATAGTTGAAAATTTAAAACAATTGCCAGCCATCGCAAACATGAAGTTCATTTTGTTTCATTGAATAATCCGTGAGCTTGAAGCAACGTACTTGCATTCGGTCTAGTTATGTGTATGTACACCATGTGACTCTTGTGACTGGTCACGGTGCTTTCATATTTTTAGTAAATAAAACGTAAAGAAAAAAGCAAATAAATGTGTTTTACGAGTCTTAAATACACTAACTAATCTTAAAGTTGTAGTTTCACGTGAAGTAAATGAATTTAAAGTGCGACGCATTGTTTATCAATTGCTTGGTTCACTCTGGTCACTGTTTTTGTGCTTTTGTGTTAAATTAAAGACAAAAATCTATTTCTTCTTTTTTTGTTTTGATACATAATAACAAATAATATCTGACATTCTCTATGAGGATTTAGAACATACCAAAATTACCATGAACATTAACTCAAAATACATGTTAAACCGAGTCAAACTATGAGCAGGAAATACAATTAAATACGAAATGTTTGCTCTGGTCACTTTCAATGTACTAAAAATTCGCTTATTAAAAGCGAATTGTCAAGATTATTTGTAATTAGTACAGAGTATTTTTAATAATGCCATGGGAAAAGACAAAAGAGCTCGGCTCTCTGGTCAAAAATTAACGAACATAACTAGTCATACAAAAGACCGCAGAGGTCATGGGTTCGAATCCCGTTGAGTCACCTGAATTTTTCAGGTTGATGAGACAATTGCTTAAATTGTCCCACAAAGTGCGAAGATCATATCTACATTTAATTTAATGAACATAACAAGTGTCGCATTAATGCAAATAAATACATGTCATATCGTGACAATCATGATTGTTGATTTATCGGTTGAGGGGAACGACGTATCACATATCATAGACACATATCATAGACGCGCAAGAAAATTATTTTTGTAAAACAAACTTTTAAAGATTTACTATTTATATCAAAAGCATGGTTTTCAGTAACAATTTTAACCGATATATTTAAAATTTCGTGTGAAGTCACATTTATTGCAACTTTACGATGTAAGCACGTGAGTTAAGTCGCGTGCAATGTAATATATGCATGAACGTTCTACATATGGGTTTGGGAAAAGTGACACTCAATCGTTTTGTAGAAATAAGAGAAAAGTCGGTCCAATAACTAAAAGAGGTCAAAAATATCGGTTCCGTTAAGATTTTGGCCTTTTCCCATGAAATATAGGCTCAAAAAATGTTGGTTCCAAGTCTTAGAACTTGGAACACGTCTCAATTTTTTGATTTGTGCGCCCCTGATTACAGAGTAAGCTCAACTGAGATTTTCACGATCTCAGACATTTTATAAACTCTTATGTTTATCGTATATAGTGAACTACGCTCTTGATCCATTGATGTCTTGATGTATTTCATTTTTGTTTGGGCTACCCACATGTACGCTCTGCGTACCTATTTTTTACCAATGATGTAGAAGTAAAGATTCTCATCTTGTCTTTTACTCGACTTTATAAAAATACTTAGAATATATTTAAGCAAATTTCACTTGATGGTTATAACAATTTGTAAAAGCTAATTAAGTATAAAACATCACATACCTGTAATTGCTGTTTTGTATGATGTGCGTATATTTAATCATTGTGTCATAAGGTGCCAAAAAATTTTGAATATTTCAGACAACATATTTATCATTTAAAGAAAAAGACAAGTTTGGTGGGAAAAATCCAAAAATTCCTACAAATGCGTATCAAATTATAGGAATTATTGAATGTTGACACAAATCAGTGAGTTTTATTACTAGCTAATAATCGCAGTTATCTTATGATCCGTTTTAGCTACAAAAGGTAGGAATTGTTAAATGCCCAAGCCGTGAAATTATCTTTGCTCAGCTATTTCATGTTATCTGATGTATAAGCATAACTCAATTATCATATAAACTCATATTATAAATAATTGGTCGATGTGTAGGATTCACATGCTTGTTG